ACACACACACTGGAAAATTATTCAGCCATAAAAAATAATGAAATAATGCCATTGCAGCAACATGAATGGACTTAGAGATTGTCATATTGACTGACGTCAGAGAAGGAGAAATATCGTATGATATCCCTTATATGTAGCTTCTAAAAAGAAACGATACAAATGAACTTACTTACAAAACAGAAAGAGACTCACAAACTTAGACAACAAACTTATGGTGGCCAGGGAGAAGGTTGGGGGAAAGAGACAGGGCATTTGGGATGGACATGTACACACTGCTATATTTAAAATGGATAACCAACAAGGACCTACTACATAGCACATAGAACTCTGTTCATGTTATGTGGCAGCCTGGATGGGAGAGGAGTTTGAGGGAGAATGGGTACATGTATATGTATCACTGAGTCCCTTTGCTGTTCCTCTGAAACTATCACAACATTGTTAATATTGTTAATTGTTAAAAATTAACAATTGTAAACAATTAACAATTGTTAATTGTTTTGGCCCAATACCAAAAAAAAAGGTTTAAAATTAAATAACACATCACTTTTACCCTAAAAAAAGAGTAATTTGGTTTCAAACACAGGACAGCTGGTGCTAAGCAAGCCCCATGGGTCCCTCCCATGTAGGGGTGCATGTAAGGGAGTTGTAAGTGTACATGTACAGTTTCCAGGGTAACTGGTAAATGTAAGAGGTTTCATATGGTTTAGAGAAACAATTGACCCGCTCAGCTTTGTGTTTACCTGTGGGCTTGGAGTGAAGCTGATACATGGAGGAGCCTGAGGATAGGTCCCCGGATACGCTCCCTTTCTGAGGCCTCATCATGTCCCACTGGCCACTGCTGCCCAGGTACCCAGGCTCCAGGATTCTGCCCATTTCTGTGGTGCTCGTCAGAGGACAGAGGGGCTGGGTAGGGTTGAGGTAGTGGGAAGGTCTGGCTTCTGTATGGTTGGTTGGCAATGTAGCTGGGGAAGCAGGATGAACACTGGTGACACCTGGGCAGAAGGAAACATGAGAAGCAGTCGCAGAACAGAAGGATTAGGCAGGAAACATGTGATTGTGAAGAACAGACACTAAAGGCGACACACGGGCTGAGATCCCAGTCGGCTGAGGAATACCAGCGAGATGAAGACTTCCACCCTAGAAGCTATGACTTTCACCCCTGGTATTTGCCAGCATGAGACACAAGAGCTAGGGCATGAATAAAGCATCATAAAGTCACCCATGTACACAAAAGGAAAGTCCTGTGGCCCTAATCCTGGCTCCTACGATAATGCCTCATGATGGAGTCCAGGGCAGTTCCTGGGAAGAACTCACTGGGAAAGTCAGGGGTTAAGAGTGCGATGGGCCATAGCACCGAGCACACCTGTGAACAGGAACATTTGTGTTCCTGTGAGTACTTGCTGTTCTGGAAGCTAAAGCGCCAGTTTTTCCAGTTTTCCTTTGGGGCTGCCAGAAGAAAGAGGGAGCATAAATCCAGCTAGAATGGTGGCCCCAGTCACTCCAGAGGGAACATTTTGCTGAGGTTGGGGGAGGTTCTGTATAAGGTAAGGGGTGATTTGAATCTTAGTCAACATGACTCAAGGAACTGAAACGTCATCACTTGTGTCTGAAGAGTCATGAACACTCTCCCACAGGGGAGGTAAGACCTTTCATTTCATAGGCTGATGCTTTCACAGATCCTGTGAATTCATGGGCCTTCCCATCATCTCCGCTTCTATTGAAAAATAATCCCAGCTGGGTGAGAGAAGGAAAGAGGTGAACCAGCTATAGTTTAGGATATTCACATTCAGAAGACTGCTTTCTTCCAGGGATTATTGACATGAGCAACAGAGTAAACAGGTAGCTCTGCCTAAGAAATAGGAGTGAGGAATGAGGTCCTGGTTTCTTCCAACCAAGCCAACCCCCTTTTGAGGGATTAATGTAGTTGGCAGTTGCCAATTTTGATCCTTGTTTATAACTGTTGTCAAATTTGGCTACATTCTTGAATCATCTGAGACAATGTAAAAACAAGTACCTGTGCCTGGTTCCCCAGAGATTTGACCTTAACTGGGATGTGGTACAGCTTGGCTACTGAATGTTTTAAAATCGTCCTAGCTGATTCTAACAGGCAGGAAAGTTTGAGAAGTATTGTCAAGTATCTCCCCTTCCCCAATTTGAAAAATACTAGATATTCATTAGGATCACTGGAAATTAAGGAGGCGGATGAAAAGTGTAAGCATCCAAATTACAGTCCAGGATTTAAAAGAGATGTGACTCCCTACCTCATCCACACCTCTTTCAACCCCAACCCCACACAAGGCAAAGGGGGAAATCAGCAGTTGCTGACACTCAGCTTACTTTCTCACCAAGGTGGTAGAAGGCTTCACATCTATCAGTAACAGGGATCAGTAGTCTCATGTTCCAGTCTCCCCAGCCACACAATACAGAGCACATGCCCTAAACCATGCTAAAACACCAGACAGACACTTGCACAAGAAGACTGTAGCTCCATAGAGACCTGAGAAGCTGCCATGCGCCACGATCCACTCAGAAGCTTGGTTTAAAGCAAAGGAGGAGAGCTGACGAACTCCTCGGAGAGGGCTGTGCTTGACAAGGCAAAGAAAGGACTACAGCCTTTCTTGCCAAGGCTGGACCATCTAAAGTCTGGCCCATGGAACAGACTGGTTGTGACTCCAGTTCAACCTGCATCAGCAGACCATTTCATGCTCAGGGCTCTCCTTCCTGCCTTTCCCTTTGGGCAAAGACAATTTGACGATGTGGAAAGATGAAGGAAAAGGAAGTGAGGAAAAGAAAAGTAGTCTAGTGAACACCCTTGCCTTTCAGCATGGAACAGGTTTGTTACCCATCAATTGTTGGTTCCAGATCTGCTATGGTAGCATGGTAGCAAGTTCTAGGTCAGAGAGAATAGCACCTTCCTGTCATCTCTAAAGACAGAAAAGAGTTTTGCAAGGGGCCTCCAGCATTGCTCAGCTGAGCTCAGCCTGTGCTCTCAGCAGGACCGTAACAAAACCATTCTAGATGGAGAAGGTATAATGGAAACATGGAACCAGGAGCAGAAGATCCAAACTCAAGCCCATTTCTCCCCCTCACTAGTGACCTTGATCAAGCAACCTCACTCCTTGAGTTTTAGTTCTCTGCCCTGGCTCTGTCACACAAGGTAAGCCCAGGTTCACGTTGGTAGGTACTTAGATTGCTATACCTGTGTAACACTGGTAGCAGAAGGTAGCCTTTTAGACCTCACTGCCTGCTGAAAGGAACATGTGCAGACTCTCCTTAAAAATGATCTCAATCTAGCTGGAAATCAAACTAATGTTAGAGTAGACAGTGTATCCAGTTTCAAGGATACTAATGAGGTCTAAATGGGGCTCAAGGTGTACACATTCTCAGCTGTGGTCTTAGATCATTGGACACTCTCTGTATGGTGACCCTACCATCAATCTCTGGCCCATCTAAGCTCTTCTTTACAGGCACAGACCATGGTTACAAGGTAATTTCAAATTGCTTTCTAGTTTTTTTAAAAGCACTACTAGAGGGCAAATTCATCATGTGAAGTTCTTTTCTTATTTCACATAGGTGGATAGTTAGTCACAAACACACACATGAGAAAGATAACAGCAAATATATTTCCAAAAACAGCAAGCGCAGCTCTCCCTCAATCGTCCAGTGATAGCGTGTACCCCTGTGTTATTTTTAAAACTCTGCCATCCAGTCAAAGCCATGCAGAGACACACAGTGTGGGTCCACCATTCGCAAGCACACAAATGCAGCAGGAAGTGCTCACTTTCTCCTAACTGCTTCCGCAGCATCTGCAGCTCTTGCTGAGCCTCCGCCAAGGAGACCACGGGTGTCTCACAGCAGCCAGGGAGGGGAGGGCCAGCAGAGCTGAAGGGCAGGAAGCTGGGTGGAGCTGAGGACAGTGGTGCCTGGGGAAGGCTAACCAGCATGGGTATGGATTGGAAATGAAGGCCTAGAAACAGAAAGTTAGGGAGAAAGGACATAAGTCATTAGACCAAAAGGGAGAGAAAAGAATGGGTGAAAGATTGAGAAGGCGGGACTATCTCCTGACCAGGGGTCTCCTTGGGGAGTGTCTGTCATTCAATGTGGCGTTGACTAAGATGGCCAAGGGGGAAGATAGTTATCCAAGAGGCTGGCTTATCTTACTCGCTCCTTCTCCCCTGCCAGGGCTATTCTGCATTCACATTCTATGCTCATCTTGAAAACAATTGGTTATAAAAAGGCAAGGTAGCATTACCATAGCTCAGGCAGCCATGAGAGCCCCATCCTAGCCATCTGGGCAGGGCAGGTCAGGATGGCTCTGCCTGAATGCTCTCAGGAGCCCTGGGGTGCCGCTGCCAGCATGGGCCAGTCCTGGCCCCTGTAACAAGACTCCCCTACACCTAGAACTGAAAGCAACAGGACTCACCCTGAGGAGGACAGGAATAGGCTAGGAGAGTGGGCATGCTGGCATGACTAATGCATGAAATTCAAGTCTGATGGAAACAAACCTGAGAATCCCAAATCACTGTGCTCATTCACCAAAGGAAAAATAAAAGCCTTGGCAAACTTACTAAGACACAGTGGCAGGCAAATCTGTCTGGACCTTCAAATAGTTTAAGAAAAATGCTTAACATATGTGGATTCCTCTGTCCTTGTTGAAAACCTACTGAGTCATAAACTCTGGCAGAAGGGCTGGGAAAGTTTTTTAAAAAAAAAAAAAAAACTTCACAGGTGATCATTATGCAGCCCATCTATAGACAGGTCTTCAGGAAGCATGGGAAGTTCTGATGTTTGAATCTCTCTCCTTTTCCTAAAAATAGTTGAAGGGCATGTAGCCCACAGAGGGAGCAGAAACCAAGACGTCTGGACTTGTGGAGACTGTTTCACACAGAAGACAGTGATTACATTCTGAATAACATCCCTTATCCCAGGATGCTGACATAGTGTCAGAGCAGTACAAGATCCCTGAATTACCAAGTGACACAGCCCAGGCCTCCTTCAGGGAGGCATTCTGATTCTAAAACCTTCGATGTTTCTGCTCTTTTTAATCCCAAAGCATTCACAGAGATGTCTACAGTGCTTGGTGAATGGTTTTCCCCCATGATTTCCTGGTTTAGTGGGAAATTTTGGCCCAGAAACTTTGAGCCCAGAAAGAGTTGGACACATTCTTTTTCTTAAGATTTGGTTGACTTGCTCTCAAGAGAGACAAAGACGGCAGAAGAAAAGTGTTGTTCTTCTGTAGGCATCTCTACTGAATGCAACCTCACCACAACCACACTGAAGGCAGCCAACCAGCCCGTCTTGCTGGGGGGCAGCAGGTGAGAATAAGCTTTTCCTGTTCTGTGCCATTGCTAGTGTGGAGCTGTGATTGTATAATACACCCCCCGGTAACTAAACTGAGGCAGGTAAATGAAATATACAGCTCTGTCAGTCCAAGATATACACCATGTATACATCAAGGACTACCAACCCATTCATAAAAACATGAAAGATAATGTAATGTGAACAGAATCCCTTCTAAGGATACTGAAGCATCCTCAGTTATGAAGGAAATAGCCCCACCAACTACAGAGGCTCCTCTGCAAATAAAATGGGGAAAACATACAAGGGAGCAGCAGATGGAAATTTCTTTTTGCTCTCTGGCTACAAAAATCCTGAGAGAAACATTTTGCCTCTTTGATTCCCAGGGTGAAATGAGAGAAAGAAATGAAGATGATTCTTTTAAAATGATTAGCCAACTACCGGTCACAATTGGTATGCACATCTAAGTCTAATGTGGATTATTTATTTTTCTACAGTAGTTAAAGACTAGTCAGACCCTACTAGTGAATTTAAATGGTCTCTTGATTTTTGTCTAGGATTTGATGTATCTAAGCTCCTAATGATACTTTTCTTGTCTCTGAAGAAAAGCCAAAGCTGAGTGAGAGGAGATGAAGCCCCTGCCCCATTGGCTAGTGCATACCTGGATGGGCCTGGCTGGCCTCCTTGGGGGGAGTCTGGGGAGCTGGGAAGCTGATGGGGTTGCCGCTGGGTTCGGCCTTAACCCCCTGAGATGAACTGGTTGCTGATGGTTTGGAAGACAGTGCAGCAGAATGACTCGAATGATGGATGGAATCTACAAAACCCATGAATGAAAGAACATGTTTGGCATTCTACAAAGAAATGGAATCTGATCTTACAATTTAACCCAGGGCAGAGCCTAGTTTTCAGGAATGGCATCAGGCACAAGCAGTGTGAGCGGCTTTCATTCCTTACTTGCAGATTGCTCCTCCAGTGAGGAAAGCCACCTGGGAGCTGACAGTGGGGTTCAGAGCCTGAAACCAAGAAAAAGGTGCCTCCAAAGATAGCAGGCAAGTGCAACAGCATATGTGGACACCCAAGGAAACCCAGGGGTTCAGAGCTGCAGCTGGCTGGAGGGGTAAGACATCCCATCTTAAAGAAGATGATCAATCAGACAGATCGTGTGCCTGTGAGGCAATGGGGAAACAAAAGTCTCCATCCTCTTCTCACTCTCCCCGCTATGGTTTGTCTGGTCCAGCAGCATCCAAGTGAGAGTGGAGACCCAGGGACAGGGTCAACTGGTAGAGTCAGGAGCAAAGCAAAGGTCCTGACCCACGGGGGCCTACGCTCAGCATGGTTCAGCCTGACACAGGCCAAGGCGTATCTATAAAGCCTGCATGTAGAAGTCTCCTCTCAGCCTAGAAAAAGGTGGTTCCACTCAGAAAGTGGAGGCTACCTGAGTGACCAGGCGAAGCTTTCTTCTCCTCATAGTGTGTGTACTCGCTAGCGATGTCCATGTCAGAGCAGGCTTCCAGCTCGTCAGACAAGAAGGAGGAGCTGCTGGGAGAGCGCTGAGAGTCAGACAAGGCGTGGCTGCTGCACGGCGTGAGGGAGCGGGCGTCCAGCTTGGCCTGCAGGACTTCAATCACTTTCTCCTTCTCCTGCAGCTCCCTGCTAAGCCTAGTGGAGTGAAGGAGGACAACAGGTGAAACCAGAATCACTGGATGAGCTAGTCCTTATGAGGAAAACTACACGAGTCAAGGGGACCGTGCCCGCAAAGAATAAATGAGATTACCCATCTGTGGTTTAGGAGTGAGAAGCAGGCCGGGTGCAGAGGGTGGGGGAGCAAGAGGTGCCCAGTGCACTGGCCACACGATACACTGAGGACTTGCCGGGGCTCAGCCAGCCCTCTAAGGCACTGCTGCTCCACGCACGGTCCCCAGGACAGCTGGAGTCTGAGAACTGCTGGTTCCCGGTCTCCAACAAGATAAGTACAGAAATGGACGGTGAGCACTGGGAAACACAGCAGTGTGGCAGTCTCACAACATCCAAGAGTACGTAAGTGGAATCATCTGGCTGATTAAGGTACAGACCATGTGTGTGTCTACGATAGGTTAGAGATAAAAACAAAATCCTTTGTCCTTCACCGCAGATATTTTGAGCAGCACTGAGTGGTCTAAAGCATACTCATGACACAAAGGGATTTGAACTAGTAACTACAAAGAACTCTGAGCCTGAATTTTATTGCACATAATAAGAAAATATGCAGTGACTCTTTTGAAAAGTGGTTTCCAAGGCACTGTAGCCTCCCAAGATCTGCAACATTGAGGAATTTTATTAGGAACTATAATACAATTCTTTTTTTCCCAAGGAAACTGTGTGGCCACTAAACTAGCTGCTAACTCAACTTGGGGGTAAGCCAACTTGGCAAAAAGTACACCATATATTTAAATACACAGAGTCGGGGAGCAGAGGAGATCCTTGGGGTGCCAAGTACCTTTGAAATCTGGTAAGTTTACTTTTAGGTCAGACTGACTCTAGCTTACTAAGCCTGGAGAATTATTATACAAATAGAAATCAATAGAATTATATCAAAAGAGTGTAAGGAATTAGGCTAAAAAGAACAGGAAGGTGTTTCATGAACAAATGGAATTCATGACAATCAGTATTTTCCAAACCCCTCCCCCCAACTTCTGATTTGTGAAGTTGTAGCCCTTCTTGATCCCTTAGGCCTTGTTCCCAATTACTTTTCCAGATCCTATTTGAATTACCTCAGAGCCAGTGGCTCGAGTCCAGCTTGATCTTTCTCACTTTTATGATCCTCTGCAAACCAAATTCAGAAAGAAACAGTAAGAAATTAAACAGGTCTCACTTTACACATTACAAGTGCAGGAGTCTATTTGAGTACAAAATAGTGACCACTCTATGTGTGGTCAGGACATGTGGGAGAATTACTCTGGGAGACCTCAGGCTGCATCTTTAGAGAACAGACCTGCAAGATCTCCAGCGCTCACCAGGCAGAACTTCCCTGACCTGGTGATCACCATCATGACTGCCTCTGCCCCAAATCAACACACAAAAAGTTTAAAAGGCACTTGGCCAGATTCCCTCCATAACATACCAGGCTCCAAGCCTGCCACAGAACGACTCCCAGTGAGAGCTCTGTGTCCCCTCACAGCTTTCACGTAGAACCTGCTCCTGCTTTGAGGAAGTGACAACAGTCCTGTCCCACCACTGCACCTGCCACTGGGATGTGGGCTGGTTGGCCCCCAAGGCTGATCCTGCTGTGCCCACTCGGGTACTCTCAGGAAATTCTAAGTTAAAGGCTCTAAAGGTGACCAATATTCCTAGCCTGTGTGCTGTGACATTCAGCCCTTTATCTCTATTTGAATTATATTCATATGTCATGCTGGGCAATAGGCGAAGAAACAAGAGATGTCAAAAGGTAAGTCATTTGCCCAAAGAAACTGAATGGTAGCATCAGGCTAGAGCTTGTCTGCAGTTCTCGATGCAGGGCTCTACTTCTTACCATGAGGTCCTCCCATCCCTCCTCGCTTTCTCCCCCAACACTGGGTGAACTCAGCCTCCTTTCCCAAAGGGCACATTCCATAAATGATCACGTTTCTACAGTTGTAATCACGGCCTCTCTGACGCTCTGGTTCCTCCTCTGTGTAGCCCACCAGCCAGTCCTGATCCCATAACGGCCCCCGGGAATGAAGTAGAAGCAGGACTTGGGTTAACAGCTGTGGTGGAGGTGAGGCAGCCACCTGGGGCTAGGCTCTGGGAGTGACTGAGAGGGTCCCAAAGCTATGAGGCCAACTTACTGGTACTGAGTTTGCTGGTGAGCCTTTCTGTCAGCTGGCTGCCCTGGGCGAGGTGCTCCCGGAAGCTCTGTCCCAGGTAGTAGTCAATGTCATTGCTCCTTAGGAGGTCCTCGAAAGACTTTACCGTGTCTTTCGAGTGCTGGGTGAGAAGATAACAGATACCTCTCCCTTCCCGTATTTTCTGACGTAGGTAGGATAGTTCTCGGGCCTGGTCCTGAATCAGGGAATCATATTTCCTATTGGATGAAAGAAGAGGAAAGAGTAAAAATGGAAAATTAAGCTATGGGGGCTTCTGTAGAGATTTCTGTAAGAGCATCTCTAAGAATTCCTCAGTTTATGCTGAATTCTGGCACCAAAACCAAAGGATGTATTTAAGGGTAAATTCTGTTCTGACAAACTTGCATCAAACAACATGGTAGATTAGACACCATTCCTCCACTGTTTAATATACATTAGTCATGTGCTATGCGTGACAGACAAGTTCTTTGGGGGTAAATACAGTGCTATATTTTACTTCCCTTATAGCACCAATATAGTGTAGACTTATAGTTGATAACAAATGCTAAATACATTTATTGAGTAGGTACTCAATAAATACGAAAAAATCCAAATAAGCCCTTTCATGTCTTCTATTTCAAAGGCCATCTACATTGTGGCAGACTGTATTCTGCAAAGACGGCCGTTACTCAAGCTTGCATTCCACACACTTGGCTACAGTGCGGCTGTGCCTCTCTTTCATCATCAAGTAGAAGTCATTCTCTACCTCCTCAAATCCGCGTGGGCTCTGTGACCACCTTGACCAAGACAACACAGTGGAGGTGACACTGCGCCAAGTCCAGGAGTCACTCTTAATTCACCTGGCAACTTTTACTTCCCAACTCTTGGAAGCCAGCTACCATGCTGAAGTGAAACTACCCTGAGACCACCACTATGAGAGGCCCAGACCAGGAGGAAAGGCCCCAGAAGACAGGAAGCCACATGGAGAAAGAGAGAAGCCAGGCAGCACTGTGTCGCCAGACATGTGCATGAAGAAGCCATGTCTAGCCAGACATCTCAGTGACTCCAGCCCCAGCCATCATCTGACGGCATGAGAGACCCCAAGTGAGAGCTACCCCAACTAAGCCCAGCCAATCCACATAAATTACTGTTTGAATCCCCTAATTTGGGGTGGTTTGTTACTCAGCACAGATAACCTAGATACCGAGATGGACATCTAGTCCAGTGTTTTTCAACACAAAGTATCAATAACAATAATAATTATGGCAAATAGGGTTGAGAGCTTTAATATGTGCTAGGCATTATTATAAGCACTTGGATTAATTCATTTAAACCTAATAACCACCCTTTGAGATAGGTTTTCTTATTATCCTCATTTAATAGATAAAGAAACAGGCTCAGGAAGACTAAGGAGGGTTGCACAGCCTGTAAGTACTGGAGCTAGGATTCAAACCCAGAAAGTCTGCCTCCCATTTTACTACTTATATATCCTGTCGCTGTATGAAAACATTCCTAAGAGGAAATCCCAGGGACCTGGTATTTCCCAGCAGGGGTCATGTGTCCAGGGCTACCACTGAAATAGGTCCTTCTCTGATGGCCCCAGTAGGTTCTCTCTTCTACCTGCCTGGGCTTCCCTATTTCACACATAAACTTAAACATCTTCAATCAAGCAGTGACCCACAGAGCACCCTCCTTACCCAGGCCACGAGGCAGATCTCAGCTCCTCAGCCAGCTTCCCTTCTGTCCCAGTTTTTGGGAGCTGGGCTTCTAGCTGGGACACCCTCTGGATCAGACTCTCCAGATCCTTTTTAGCCTGAAGCCCTGGAGGGTAGAAAGCCCCTGTACCATCAGACAGCCACCCCTCGTCCTCATCAGTGACACTATGCGGTGAGGATCCCTCGAGGGCACCAACGGCCTTCAGCTTTCGGGGTCTCTCCAGACTAGATGAATAATCGCTTGTAACTGAGAGGGAGCGAACCCGGCTCTTCAGGTTCTGAATGACCTTGTTGGCATTCTGCAGCTGGGCCTTCAGATCTTTGATGTCCTTACGTAGGACAGAGATGTTTTCTGACTTTCCATATGCCCGGAGCTCCTCCTGTTTCCCTAGTTGGCTCTCCGGGGGCTTCTTCCCAGGGGCGCTGGCCATCGTGGAGCCCAGGTGTCCCTGCTCGGAGCACAGCCCCTCCATCAAGACTGTTTCCCTGAGGCTGTCGTGCTCCTCACACTCTGAGAAAAGACAAAGACATCCTCCTGAGTAAAGCTGGACATGCTGCAGGCCCTTCAAGGTCTTGAGGACAATAATTACTAGAGCAAAAGTTAAAGCAGTACTTTATTCAGCGCTGGCACTGTATTAGCCTCCAAATGCCATATTTCTTGTCCTCCCAAGAGCCCTGCAAACCAGGTGTGGTCACCTTCTATTTTACTCAGGGTTTTTCTCCTCAATTTCAATTTGGTGGATGTCCCTATAGCTATAGTGCTTTTATAAGAGAAAAACACTTATTTTAGATGTATAGTTTGCATATCCACCTGATAGTTCAGTTTGTATCTGCCTGCAATGCAGGAGACCCTGGTTTGATTCCTGGGTCAGGAAGATCTGCTGGAGAAGGGATAGGCTACCCACTCCAGTATTCTTGGGCTTCCCTTGTGGCTCAGCTGGTAAAGAATCCGCCTGCAAGGTGGGAGACCTGGGTTCTATCCCTGGGTTGGGAAGATCCCCTGGAGAAGGGAAAGGCTACCCATTCTAGTATTCTGGCCTGGAGAATTCCATGGACTGAATAGTCCATGGGGTCGCAAAGAGTTGGACATGACTGAGCAACTTTCATTCACTCACTCAAAGCTCATTCGATCTTCTCATTAATAAATAGACTTCAGTATTTTTTTTTTCTGGTGGTTCAGATAGTAAAGAATCTGCCTGCAATGCAGGAGACCAGGTTTGATCCCTGGGTTGGGAAGATCCTCTCAAGAAGGGAATGGCAACCCACTCCAGTATTCTTGCCTGGAGAATTCCATGGACAGAGGAGCCTGGCGGGCTGCAGTCCATGAGGTCACAGAGTCAGATACAACTGAGCGAGTAACACATACACAGTGTTTTTTCTAAAATAATCAGTTAAATAGAACTTTTTTTTTTAAGTTTGTGCTGAAATTTTTTTTTAAACAGGCAGCATGTTGAAAACTAGTTGTAGAAATTTAAACTCACACTCAGCCTCATTTTGGGCATGAGTTCTCCAAACTTTCTGTCCCCCTCTGTCCTGTGTCCCCATAAGTTTACTGCACCCCTCAGCCCTGCTCCTCGTCATATGTGGGGGTGGCCAGCAGCACCCAAATGTGAAGGCTGCCCCTAGCTGGGGAGGGCGAGCCCCACCCCCGAGCTCTCACCAGGGCTGGTGCTCTCCTCCCGCTCAGCCTCGTTCTCGCTTCGGCCACAGGTCTCGTAGCCCAGGTCCTGGAGGTCCACCTGCACCTGCTTGCTGTCCTGCTTCACCGATGGTCCACCTGCTTGGCAACAGACAGGGGGTGCTACAGAGGATCTAAATTTCCCACATACACTCTCATCCTCAGCAGCATGCACCCTGGCCCGTGGGGAGGTCCAGAGTGGGACCAGAGTGGGATAGACATTTCTTTGGACTGAGGTGGGAGAAGAAACACCTGCTCCAGGCAGCAGGACCTCTCTCCACCAGGTGAGCTTGTTCCCCATTGGTGATCCTACCTACAGATAACCTGGGCTTCCCTGGGACCAGACATGTTTTAAGTCAGACATCGCATACTATCAACTCTACAAGCCCCAGGGAAACTAGCAAATGCTTTGTTCATGGGGGCTCAGGGAATGTTTGAATGGAGCAGAACTAATTCAGAGTTTCAAAGACACCAAGATCTGCACTGTTCTGTAAGTGTTATAAACGTGACTGTTTTATGTTAAACTGATAAAAACTAAATAAAACTTTAAATCCCCAAATTGAATTAGCTACATTTCATGTTCTCCAAAACCACACGTGACATAAATACAGAACATTTATGTCACTGCAGAAGTTCTATGAGAAAGCACTGATTCTAGACCAACAACGATGATATACTTTTGAAGAGTCTAATGTGGTGAAAAGAGGAGCAGAAGAGAAACAACCAACATATGTTGAGAGAGGTAAGGCAGTTTGTTGACTGTACCAGAAATCAGTGAGGCTAGATGTTAGCTCATTTCCTCCCTATGCTGTCACTGCAAACTTGCTTTATTCATTTATTTGTTTCTGCCATCTGCAAATTGAAGTTAGTATGCACTTCCATGGGCTTATCTGGTGGCTCAGTGAAGAATCCACCTGCCAAAACAGGTGATGTGGATTCGATCCCTGGGTCAGGGAGATCCCCTGGAGACGGAACTGGCAATCCACTCCAGTATTCTTGCCTGGGAAATCCCAAGGACAGAAGAGCCTGGCAGGCTACAATCCATGGGGTTGTAAATGAGTTGGACACGATTTAGCGACTAAATAACAACAACAATCCACTTCCACAATGCTAAGGTCATAGTCAGGATTAAACTGGCCATGAGACTGGGAAGGAAGAGTGCAGTCTGCAAAGCATGATCTTCTCAGGGAGAAGACCTGAACTTGAGACTTACTAAACATGACTCTGTACTTCTCCAGTTGGTTGGCCTGGGCAAAGACAGTGGCTTCTGAGATCAGCAGCTTCTCCTGGAGGTCCTGATAGCGCTGCTTGCACTGTGCCAACTGGGAGCGCAGGTGCTTCGTGGAGCCCGGGAGGCTAAACTCTGACTGTGGCCCGGGGTCATGGGTCTGGGGCTGGTCATCCAGCTGTGAAAAGAGCCAGCACAGGGTCAGGGCCATCTGAGCTCCTCCCCAGGCAGTGGTGGCCGCTTCGCCTTGCGGGCCCTGTGTACTTCATCCATGTGTCTGTCGTTAGCACTCCTCATTCCACTTGGCAGCTACTTGCTTTCCAGACTGAGCACCTGGAGAGCTGGGGTGATGTTTTATTCATCTCTGTCGCTACAGCACACAGCACCGTGCCACCTGAGTCTGTGAGGAACCCTCAGCAAATGCTTGCTCAATGGTTGAAAAGAGAAGGGGTGGAAACCTCCACTCCTCTCTCCCTGCACTCCTACCCAGTTGTTCTCTCAGAGTCCTCTGCAGTCCATTTTACTTAATCCTCAGCAGGCAATGGCACCCCACTCCAGTACTCTTGCCTGGAGAATCCCATGGACGGAGAAGCCTGGTGGGCTGCAGTCCATGGGGTCGCTAAGAGTAGGACACGACTGAGCGACTTCACTTTCACTTTTCACTTTCCTGCATTGGAGAAGGAAATGGCAATCCACTTCAGTATTCTCACCTGGAGANGGCTGATGATATTCCGGGCATTCTTCAGTTTTCCCTGGACCTTTCTGAATTCAGCCTGAAGGCTATTCTCATTCAGACCCCCTTTGGCAACCACAGTCTCCACCATTGCCTCGCCCTTCTCCTTGTCTTCCTCAATCTCCCATCCATCAGACATTGCTTCTCCCATCTGTTCTTTCAGCTCTGCATTCTCAAGGCAAAGGCTCAGCATGGTGTTCCTGCAAGAAACATACACAGTCAGGGGCCGGGTCTGGTCTTGGCCTCATTTCCTAAGAGCCCGGTTAACCCACAACTCAGTCCATCAGAGACTCAGAGACACCCCAGTATATGAAGTGACCTCAGAGACCTATTAAAACATCCCTTATTGTATATACAAAGAAATAAAGGCTCAGGAAGAGCAGGAGATTCCCCACACTCCCATGAATACTTGGCAGCATTATCACTAAAAATCTTGGACTCAAGATACACAGTCTACTTGTCTTTACCCATGCTTGCAACCTCAAGTTCTAATTTTCAGTGGCCTGTAGAATAAACAAGGATACTTACACTGTTATTAAAAAAGGACACTGCCTGGGAGAAATTTATTATTATGTAGACTACAGTTCTATTAATTATCATCAGTCATTTTTCAACTACTGGATGAGAAACTGGGACCTAGGAACACAGAAGAAACAAACAACACTAACCAGAATTGTAGTCAAAGGTACTTATGTTAATTAGTTGCTTTCTATCTGGCTCCTGTGATAGGAGATCGTCTTCATGAGAGCAGGGAATCTGTCTGTCTTGTTCACCCAGTGTCCCCAGAGCCTCCACAGTGCTGGCTGCACACAGAATATTCATATTTGCTGAGAAGATATAATGGGCTAAACAACTAATTTTCACCAAAATATTCTGGTTGCAGCCTTTCTTCCCACCAAATCCTTTACTAGGATTGGATGGAAGCAATAAAAAGTGTGGCTTTAATAAGGCAATTTACTTAAAAAGGCAATTCACTTCATTGACTTAGTGGAGTCACTGGATGCTTACGTGAAATTCATAAGTGCTATGGTTAGTTCAGTGTCTGCGACTGAGAAGTTATATAATTCTGCTCTTATCAGCTGCAGACCCGAGGAATACTAACAGCAGAATCCTAGGAGGAGATTGTTTAAAATGCTTAAGAGCTAAGGCCTACGAATCAACATTTTATTTAAGTTCCACAGGTGATTCTTTAGCATGTTAAATTAAGAACTGCTGACCAGAAGAGACAAAGGAAGTAGCTAATTCACAGCCTGAAGGACCAGCAGTTGGCTATGCCTCTACACTGTGTTTCTCAGAACCCTAAAATTTTGGAATAGAGCAGAGCTTGCCTAAAGTGAATTAAGGATGAACATGGTTTAGGACATAGGAATCAGAGAGACCGTGAGAGTTTCCTCAGTGGAGAAAGGGGGAACAGGTATTTTACTAAAACTGAGGTGTAACAGGGAAAGAAAGGGGCATATGTGTGGTATAAAGAATATTTAACATTATGTCATAACTTTGTATTTGGGGGAAAACCCTGCTCTTTTCACAATACAAACTAACAAAAGCAATGCTCAACAAAATCTTCCCCAAAGAGAAGAATTACATAGAATTATGAATTACATAGTCTATCTTCTACACTATCAGTGGTGCTTCTATATTCAGCTGTGGGATCGAAAGAGATACTGTTCTCACCCATGATAGCACAACAAAGTTTACACATAAGTTTAAATCAAACTTAAGCTTTAGCTTAAGTAGAATTTAAGATGAGAAATATCATGATGATTCAGAGTAAAAGAACCAGAACAAAGGATGAATGCAAGAGTATTTCAAAAAATGTTTGATAAAGTATATAGGAGAAAAGGCTTAGAATTTAATATGTGGGAGCCAGGGATCTTGCCACGGACTATTATGCAAACTTGAGCAAGTTTGCTCGAACTTTTTAGGCCTGAGGTTCCTTAACAGTAAAAAGGTACATTGTGCTAGATGTCAAAGTACTAATACTAATATTATTCTATGACTCAGGGACATTTAAGTGGCACACAATAGGCAGGGAAACTCTAGGGTATGGATTATAAGCTGTTCATATGCACAGCTGTGTTCTAAACAGCAGGCCATGATGATTGTGACCCTCATGGATGAATGAGTGAGTAGATTATCCCTATGCTATCACCATGTTTTCCAAGCTTCTTTTGGGGGTGAGGGGAAAGATTAAAGGCAGGGCCATTCTAGCCAATGAATAAGTTACTCCCCACGTTTGCAAAGTAAATAAAACAGGAGAGATTATTAAAATTGTTACTCCACAATTTAAGGATTTGTGCTGCTGAGAGACAGATGAGTGGAGGCTCTGTGTAAACCCTCCTCCTCATGGACTGTTCTGGTTCTGCATACAGCAGTGAAGCATCTTGGGTAGCAGGAGATTCCTTACACATTCCAGTCAATTCAAAAGAGCAATACCAGTCATACAACTGGGAGATTTCCACTTGTGACAGTCATACGTATAGCAGATAATAGGCATTTTTATATCAAATTAAGACCAGATTTATTTGAAGAGTTCAAATGGTAATTATTGATAATTACCATTATTCAGGGCTTCCCAGGTGGCTCAGTGGTAAAGAATCCACCTGCCAATGCAGGAGATGCAAGAGACATGGGTTTGATCCCTGGGTCGGGAAGATCCCCTGGGGGAGGAAATGGCACTCACTCCAGTATTCTTGCCTGGGAAATGCCATGGACAGAGGAACCTGGTGGGCTACAGTCCATAGCATCACAGAGTCAGACAGGGAGCATGTATGCACACACACATGCATTATCTAGTATTATTAACTTTTCTAAGAATCTGTAGAACCATGCAAGCATGGAGCTTGGGATGTGGACCAAGAAGCCCCATGGTGGCATGAATTCCTTGGCTGCAGCAACATGGTCCCTTGGCTATAGCAGCCTCTCAATCGGCAGGCTCTTCTACTCTGGGGCGTGTCCTACCTGATGTGGGCCACAGAGGAGAATCCTGCTTCCTCGATTTGAGCCTTTAGCTCCTTCAGTTCCCCCTCAGCTTTCCTCTTCTCCTCTAAGTGCCGGTGAATTTCAGCCCTCAGGTGGAGCATTTCCTCCTGAAGACCCCTGTTACTGTCTCCTCCTGTCAGAGAAGGAGGAGCAAGAGACACATTCTGGGTCTCCACAGCTGCCCGGCTTTTCTCCAACGCCACCTTGATGAGCTGAAAGAAAACCATAGTTTAAAGAAGTTAGTTCACTAAGAGGGTCTATGAGGAACATCAGAGCACAAAGGCAGCCTTTAAAGGGACCAAGAGAGGTAGACCTCCCTCCTAGGACTTTCCTAACCAAGGGTCCCTGGAGACTGGTTGCGGTGAGAGGATGCACCACACAAGCAGGGAGAATTTTTGCCATGGGCAGCAGGAAGAAATTGCAGAGGTGGGTGAGGAAAAACCACAAGCACACAACAAACTTAAAACAAATGCAAACAGATGAGGTTTAAAGAGGACTGGAGAATGTGGATGCTCTTGATTCTTCTCTTTCTGGGGGGACAGAGTTCCTTGGGAGCCTTCTCACAAGACAAAAAGCTTCATCAGCTCCACAACTCCAGAGTCCTTGAATGCAAAGATCATGGCAAAGATACCAGAGCTCAAAGCCTGAGGCCCGGCCTGTAACTCAGAGTCTGACAAGGATGATTATGAGGCAGGATCTGGGCACTCAGGAGTCATAACCAGAGAAATAGGGTATGGGTGGAGTTACAGGTAAGACAAAGAAACTAATTTCATTGGCAGCAGGAGAATCACAATCTATAGTCAGTGAGAGGTTAAAGTTGAGGCCACCTAGATGAGATGAGATGGGATAAGAGGAGGGTTTGGGGGAGAATGGATACATGTATATGTACGGCTGAGTCCTTCCGCTGTCCACCTGAAACTTACAACATTGTTAATTGGCTATACTCCAATATAAAACAGAAAGTTGAATAAAATTTAAAAAAATAAAATGAGGCCACCTGTCTAGCAACCACCTTCCCTGTTGGCTAACACTCTGTGCTGATGCTGCCAGCCAAACTCTCTCTACAGATCTAAGTGAGTGAGAAGAAAACAAGCAGAAACAATTTCCCATGACCTTTAGTTTTTGAAGATACTCTTGAAGTTACTCCTTAATATTTCAACAAATGTAGACTGTATGGTTTTTTCCTCAAATAACAATTTTTTTACTTTTACACTTTTTTACTGTTTGTCTTAGGCTCCTCTCCAGCTTTTTTTATCATGCTCTTTAAAGAAACCAAAACCTGAGTATGATAACCTACTTAGTGTATGAACAATTATTTTAGTACATGAATTTCTTGCCTGTCAAATATTAATCTTATACCCAAATGCCATAATGGCTTCTTTTTCCTTTCAACGGCAGCATTTTGGGGTTTTGCTTAACTTGAGGTTGATTTTGACCTCCCAATTTTTCACCTCTCCACACAGCTATCTCTGGGTCATGTTTTATCTCTACAAATATAGTGACTTGTACCTGTCACAAATCCATTCTGGCTACAAAGAACCATTAACAATCATCAACATAATAAAAATATTTATGTGCATCTCCATAAATCACATAGTGGTCACTTGATTAGGAATGACTTGTAGAATTAATTATAAACTTGATTCCTTCAATTAGATCAGGAATATATTGAACAAAACAGGGCTCAGAGGAGCTTAAATGAATCAGTGATTAATAGATCTGCTTGGCTTGGCTCAAAGCTGCTGACTGTTGCTTTGGACTTCGTAACAGCATGCTAAAATCTAGGTTTCAGGTGCGTGGTGGGGTGATTGATGGCATGTATGTGTAAAGTGTTTGGTAGCACAGCAGTGGAGGTTGTGAAGAGATGTGCAAGTTCTGCCCTCTGGATGAAGAAAGGAGAAGCTGCCCACATGTGCTCATTTCCCAGCACCCATCCCACCTGCAGCTGTAAGCCTGAGATCTGGGAGGCTCCTGAGAACGTCTCTATGACTCTGCTGCCAGGCTTAGACTGGTGGCCATCCCTGCATGTGCCATGAAGCACTTGGGACAAAATGAAGGAGGAGGACTGGATAAAACCACTTTTGAAAGCTTATGACCTAACCTTTCATTTAAATTATGTGACATTATCTTTCTACATAAACTCTTTGCAACTAACTTACCTAAAATAAACACTGCCATCAGCCTTGAATATGGACAGTTACTCTTTGCTGTTAATAAAGGGTGCTCAGTTGCTCAGTTGCGTTTGACTTTTGGGGCCCCAAAGATGGGGGTCCTCTCTTGATGGAATTTTCCAGGCAAGAATACTGGAGCGGGTTGCCATTTCCTACTCCAGGGACACCTTAAGGGTTCCTTCTGCTTAAAAATAATGTCTCATTTTAATGATGCCATCTATTATTTAAGTGCCTTCTGGATGTATGTTATCTTTTATTGATTTAAATACACTGGCTTTCTTTAAAAAGGGAAAATAAGACCCATGGAATGTTAATATCAGAAGGAACCATATGGTCTATCTGGTCTGATTTCTTACTTTTAAATGAGAAAACAGAGATCTGATTTGTTCCCAGGCTAATCTGACTTTTCATATTTCAATGTTCAAGGGAGTTTACTTTGGCTGCTTTGCCTTTAAAATTTAAATGTAAATGCATGAAAAGTGACTCAGGATCTAGCATTTAATTATTCTTTATCATCTATGGAAAGCTAATATTTCTATTGTTTTTCCTCAAGCAAAACCCCAGGGTGTCAGCATATGCAATAGTGGTATGAATGCTTTAGTTCTATTGTTAATTACATCTCATAAATTATTATTGCTGTTGTTGTTTTTCACATTCCCTAATTCTTCTGTTTTATTGCTTCCACGGTATAATTCAACTTTTTGGTGTGCTGGTTTTCCATTTGCCCCAAAGAAGTCAATGTGTGAACCTGATCTCTTATTTGAATAGAATGGCTTTGTTTTAGCCCTATTGCTCCATACCTCCCACCATGTATTCAGTTCTCAGACAACATTAGGGTATTAAAAATGACCTTTTTTCAAGTTCAACACTGCTTTCTCTCCTTTGCATTTGTGACTCTTGATTAATTTTCTCTATTGCAAAAGTTCAAATGAAGAAAGACAATGATGATTAGTTTCTTTCATAGGAATTTCCTAGGTATTATAGATCTTACATTTGATTGAGAATGGAATTGTGTGAGAGATACCTGGGGGAAATTATCATTATGGCCAGACCTGAAACTCCCTGAGGAGGGTGAGTCCAAAAATAAAGATAGAGCAATATGCTTTGGCCAAAAGTTGGTTCTTGCCTTAAGAGGAACATAAAGTTGGATGGATATGTTTGTAACGGGAAGTGTGTGAATGCCTGAGGCAGGAGGGGAGCTTGGTGTTGGGAATAAGGCCTACTCCCAAGGACACAACTAGGAGAAGCTCAGAGCACAACCTTAAGGGACCAGTTCCCTGGAAACAAACAGATACATTTTTGAGAATCTGGACACAAGACAGTTAAGACAAAACAAGCTTTATTTAATTGGTAGCAGGAGAACCATGCCCACAACCCTCAGAAAAGTTGCTGTAAGTTTACAATGATTTCACATACCTCCTTCCCAGAACTGAAGACTGACTCTCAAGGAAAGGAGGTACAAAGAAAACAGTGCTTACCCAAGATATTCTTTCATCCAACAGATAAATACTTGTCTAATTTATTAAGTATCTCCTATGCCAAGTGATTGGAGAAGGAAATGGCAGCCCACTCTAGTATTCTTGCCTGGAGAATCCCATAGACAGAGGAACCTGGAAGGCTACAGTCCATGGGGTTGCAAAGAGTCAGACACAAGTGAGGCAACTGAACACATGCCAAGGGATAGGTAAGACATTGCAAGGGAAGCACAAATGCCCCAATGTAACAGTTTATTCCAGGGTTGGACTGACCTCAGAATGTAGTCTGATCATTTCTCCACACTCAGTTATAGGAAAAAGGTTGAGGAAAAAGTGACTTTACAAACCAGTCTGCCTATAACTGAGAATCAGAGTGCAGAACTCCTACTATCACGCATAGTTTGGACCACATCTGGCTCTTTCCGTATCTGTGGCTCCTGTTCATATATTCTGAAGTTAATAACCATCAGAGTCAGCTTGAAAGCTGACATCCCAGTCAAGCTCCAAGTGAGAGTGGCTATTTTCACATCCTGCAGACCCTTCTCTCCCACCCAAGACCCTCAACGCAAACAGGGAGTGAGGGGCGAGGCGAGGGACCGGCCCAGAGGTGCAACGGAGCACGTAAGTAAAGTCACAAGCACTGGTTAGGAGGACTCAGCAGCCGTCCAAGCAAAAAGAGAAGTGGGGCTCATGCAGGAACTCAAGGGAAAAGGTAGGGCCAGGTGTGCCTAGAGCAACACAAAGGGGGTCCTGGTAGAAGGTAGAGAAACTGTGTTGAGAATGGGAGGTGTTCCAGACAACTGCTTATGTCCTCAAGAGTCAAAGACTGTGCCCAATTCTGTGAGGTTTGGGTACTGCTCACATGGGTCTTTCTATAGGACTATTAGGCGTGCCTCCTCTTTTTCTTGTGCAGGAGATGAAGAGGCAGGCTCCTTTCCCCCATAGTTTTCCCAACTGCTCCAAGGAAGCTATCCCTGGAAATGGCCAGATGCTTCTGCAGAACAACAGATACCAATGATCCACTTGCTCCTGAAAAACTCCAAAATTTACATGCCTGGTCCCTTTAGGACACGGGATTGCCAAATGTCCATGGGCAAGGTGAAGACACAGAGGAGTTCCAGTGGATGCTATGGGATCACTCTCGGTGACTGAGCTCCAGGACATTCTACCCTTGAACTCGAGAAAATGCTGGTTACACCTTCACTGATGGTCAATGAGAACAGTGTTTCAGCCTTGGGTACCACTTTCTGAGGTCTGACCAGGACTTGCTCTTGAAGTGTCATCTGCTGGTCACTGATGCATCACCACCTGAGCAGACAGTCAGGTGCCCAACAAAGTTCTCTTTTATATAGTGAGACTTCCCCAGGAATGAGCCTGGTTTTGAAGGCATTCCAGTCCTCTTGTAGTTCCTCAGAGAGCACTCTCCTGAAGCAGGGGCCAGGCCTGCCACCTCCCCAAGTGGTCCTTTGGTGACTGTCTTCTGGGATGTGTTTCAGTTACAAAAGCCCAAGATGGTAAGTGTCCATGGTTTTGTTGTGAGTAAAAATTCTTCTGAAGCTATAGCTATAGATGGTACATAGGGGCAAAGGAGGGCAGGAAGGGGCAGGGAGCAGGAACATGAGATACAAGGAGGAAAAAGGGTGGATTGGAAAGAAAAATGGAGTGAGAATGGGGGTTGGGAAAGGTGGCTGGGAAGCTTAGGGAGGCCAGGAAGAAGGCAGGGAAGTGCTTTATGCACAAAGAGAGCTTCTCACGCCAGGCCCACGAAGGCTGCAGAAGACCACCAGTCCCTGAAGGGCTCTGAGCCCTCCACCCCGGGACCCCAGGGCCTGGCTCGGACTTACCTGCTGGTGGCTGTTGTGTGCAGCCTCCTCCTCGATACTGTCGGTGAACTCCGTGCTCGCATCCTCGGTGTCGTCCCCTGCAGCTGTACCTAGGAGTGGGTCCAGAAGAGAAAGGTGACTCCCTTCGCAGGTACCTTCCAGACAGCAGCTCAGATTACACTCATTTTGCCATCCACCTCTGATTTCTTCCCTTCCCCACAGAGTGGCCCCTTGCCAGCAGGGCCAACAGGGAAGGCAGCACCAACACTATAGAAAAGCTGATCACTGATACTACGTTCCTAACACTCCAGCTTAAACCTCAAAAGGTAAACCAGCTTCTACTGCACAGCTGTTAAACTGTGGGACTAAATGGTTACCCCTCTCACTTATTTCCAGAAACCCTGAATTATTTCCTTTCTGCCACCATGTAATAATTTTCCCGTGTGTGACATGGACCCAATGTGATAACTTTTTCGCACCACTGATTGCAGAGAGGGTCCCTGATTTCCTTGGGATCAGGGCAGCCCTGCTCCCCTCACACGTTTCCATTGTTGGGATCAGTCGTGCATGGGGTGATTACCTCGATGAGGAACCTTCCTGCAAGGGTCTTGTGTCCTACAGCAGCTCAGGTCTAGTCCAGCCCCAGGGCCGAGAATGGTTCAGCTGTTTCCTAACCCCTTCCTCTTACCTCCCCTCCTCCCATCTCCCTCAAACCCTTGTCCAATGTCAACATCCTGTGCCTGAAGGGTTTCTTGTACCATTTTGTCTAAAAGGAATTTAATCCATTCATTCACTCACCAAAAATGAACACGGTCACCCTGGGACACAAACATCTATGCCCCACACTAAGGGACAAGTAGCTGCAGTTCATGGTCTAGATATATGTCTAGGGCAGTGCTGACCAACAGAAGTTTTTGCAGTTTTATGCCTCCGCTGTTCAGTTCAGTAGACACTAGTCACATGTGGCTACTGAATCCGAGGAAATGGTTTTTTCCCAAACATCTAAAAGTATTCTTTTAAAAAATATTATCCTGTTATGTCTAATCCTTTGAAGAAATTTTGGCTGGCACTGAGAGAATTAGTAGCAATACAAAGAATTACTGTTTTCATAATTTTGTATCTGAAATTATGGATACTGCTTAAAAGAATTTTCATTAAGCTTTTTCCTTATAATAGTCCCAATAGTATGTCTATCTTTTAAAATGTAATTCAAATAGTCACATACATGGCTGGTGGCTGCCATATCAGACAGCACAAATATAGGGTGTTCCTTCTTCTTCACATCTGTAAAAATAAGACTGTTCATCAAATTTTAGATTAAGACCTACGGCTCATATTACTGATTTCTTCTGAAAATGTAGGAATTTATAATGGTTAATTCATCTGGACACCAAAGAAAATGTATCACTGATACTCCTTGGGTCTTACAGAACGTGCACAAGTTAGAGAACCCTGAGATCCAGTGCTGACCCTGGCCTCGGAAACCAACCTGTTACAGCTCCTCTTCTGGCCGCTGGGTAACCTGAGCCTCAGAGATCAGGCAGCTTGACCACAGTTACATAGCTAGCCCTGTATAAGAGCCATGCCAAGTTGGCAAGTCTCTGGACTTTCAGGCAGAGACCACTCACTGTTCCTTCTGGTGACAAGTCAGATTTTTGCCTCCTCCTCCAAGAGCAGAGAACCTGCTCCTGAGCTCGCACACCATGAACGAAAGGCTCTGCATAAATAATTCACTACCCTCTACAGGCAAGGTGAGCAGGGCCAGCTCATACCTACACTCCATCTCTTGGCATCTGCAAGGTTATGCCAGGGTACTTGCAATGGCCCCAGCCAATCTTATGCAAAAGTACTAAAAGCATGTTGTCCTAACAGCTTAATTTTATGACTCATTTGCTGATCTTTACCGTGAGTGTTGTGTTAACTTTGGACAAGGCAGTACCCTATTCAGCCCTACTCACAAGGAGACACCTTTACCACTTGGCATCTTTAGAGCTCTGTGGCAGACTCTTGTACAATAGAGAGTTCCAATACATACTTTTTTAAACCAGCCCCATCTCGTTCAGGACACTGGTTGTGTAGAGGTGAATGAACACACTTCCTAAGCTGTGGCTGCTTTGGGAACTCATTGAATCCAGGATGTTAATTCGCTTGAGGACAACCGTGTTGTATTATGCTCACTTTGAACAACACTATTGTATGCCTCCGCTGTTCAGTTCAGTAGACATTAGTCACATGTGGCTACTGAATCCGAGGAAATGGTTTTTTCCCAAACATCTAAAAGTATTCTTTTAAAAAATATTATCCTGTTATGTCTAATCCTTTGAAGAAATTTTGGCTGGCACTGAGAGAATTAGTAGCAATACAAAGAATTACTGTTTTCATAATTTTGTATCTGAAATTATGGATACTGCTTAAAAGAATTTTCATTAAGCTTTTTCCTTATAATAGTCCCAATAGTATGTCTATCTTTTAAAATGTAATTCAAATAGTCACATACATGGCTGGTGGCTGCCATATCAGACAGCACAAATATAGGGTGTTCCTTCTTCTTCACATCTGTAAAAATAAGACTGTTCATCAAATTTTAGATTAAGACCTACGGCTCATATTACTGATTTCTTCTGAAAATGTAGGAATTTATAATGGTTAATTCATCTGGACACCAAAGAAAATGTATCACTGATACTCCTTGGGTCTTACAGAACGTGCACAAGTTAGAGAACCCTGAGATCCAGTGCTGACCCTGGCCTCGGAAACCAACCTGTTACAGCTCCTCTTCTGGCCGCTGGGTAACCTGAGCCTCAGAGATCAGGCAGCTTGACCACAGTTACATAGCTAGCCCTGTATAAGAGCCATGCCAAGTTGGCAAGTCTCTGGACTTTCAGGCAGAGACCACTCACTGTTCCTTCTGGTGACAAGTCAGATTTTTGTCTCCTCCTCCAAGAGCAGAGAACCTGCTCCTGAGCTCGCACACCATGAACGAAAGGCTCTGCATAAATAATTCACTACCCTCTACAGGCAAGGTGAGCAGGGCCAGCTCATACCTACACTCCATCTCTTGGCATCTGCAAGGTTATGCCAGGGTACTTGCAATGGCCCCAGCCAATCTTATGCAAAAGTACTAAAAGCATGTTGTCCTAACAGCTTAATTTTATGACTCATTTGCTGATCTTTACCGTGAATGTTGTGTTAACTTTGGACCAAGGCTGTACCCTATTCAGCCCTACTCACAAGGAGACACCTTTACCACTTGGCATCTTTAGAGCTCTGTGGCAGACTGTTGTACAATAGAGAGTTCCAATACATACTTTTTTAAACCAGCCCCATCTCGTTCAGGACACTGGTTGTGTAGAGGTGAATGAACACACTTCCTAAGCTGTGGCTGCTTTGGGAACTCATTGAATCCAGGATGTTAATTCGCTTGAGGACAACCGTGTTGTATTATGCTCACTTTGAACAACACTATTGTTGTTCACTATTCCCTGAACAATAGAGATCAGAACCTCTTTTTCTTTCTCTGCAAAGAAAATGAATTGTTCCACTCAGTGACAGACCAAAAAAACACACGTTTCATACTGTTTCCCTTCTGAGCATTGAAAAGAATAATCCTGTGGTTTGAAGAAAGTTCAGCTCTATGAGGTCAGGATCCTCACCCCTACCCACACCATACCACACTGGGCTCACACTCTATGATGCTTCCTGTATAGGATTCCAGAAGTATGGTAAGTGGAGATTAGAAAGGGTGATTGTCACTGGCCTTGAAGGCTTCTGTCTAATCCTTTCTGCCCTCCACTTACCTTTGTTGACCTTTCTAATGCCACATCTGCCTTTCTTATTAATAATGTTCTCTCTTTAATTCACTCTGGGGCAGGATACCATGATTTTGACTTCATCAAGAGTTAAATGGAGACAAAGCAAAAATGTCATTTCATCCTGACACTCTACTGCATAGGGGTTTTGTTTTCCTTATTCATTTTCTCAGCAGCAGCAGTCTGCAGTACTGCCTCCAGGGCAGCTTGAAGGGTTCCTTAGTCTTTACCGATTTGGATGCAAAAGCCTTTTTTGAATGTGTTAGTTTGAGAGGTAAATTTTAAAAATATATATAGAAAATATTAAAATAAGTTATCCCACACAAAGTCCTACCTGTAAGTTTACGTAGACAAGCCTCTGCTGTTACAATTTCTGGTTTTTAAAATGACAATAAGAACTTCTCTTTTGTGGAGAACATCCTTTTCTAAGCTTTTACAAAGCAACAAAACACTATCCTCAGAACTATAAATTTCTAATTTAAAGGTACTATACTTTATATTCATGAAGTTATTGCTTATGTTTGATAAATATGAATAAACTGTTCTGCCACCTTTAGAACTACTGAAAGCTAAGAATCTGTTCATTCAAATTTAACTTGCCTCTCGATCTCCAGGGTAAGTTTCACATGTTAGACTGGAAATTTTATTAAAAACTTTTATTTGGGACTTCAATAACAGTTCTCAAGTTGTGGTTCTCCCAAGTTTCAAGGCCCTGAATCACACATAAGGAGGTGCTACCAAAACTTCCCTCTCTTGAAGAATTAATTATTTTCTATCAACTATCTGAATCTATAAAGTACATAGAAATAAACTTCTAAAATACAATACTTTAAAATCTTTGGGCAAAATTTAAGTGGTATGAAAATATAAGGTCTTTTTTATCACAGAGGCAAAAAGTCATACTTTTGTGCTTTTTAAATTGAGGATGGCATAATTATTGAGAACATGGACTCTAGAGCCAGACTGTCTAGATTAGATTTCTGCTTGCATCATTAGTTATGTGACTTTAGACAAATCCTTTTCATAACTCAGTTCCCTCACTTCTTAGGGTTAATAGTAATATCCATTCCATACACTTTTCAGCTATAGTTTGGTGACTTTGAAGTGCTTGAAACAGTGCTTGGCATACATTCAGTATATTCTTTATTATTACTATTTTACAATATTATTGGCAAACTGGTTTATGTGCTAGAAAGTGGAGAGTTGAAAAAGGCCATAGAACCTAAATGTACTCGGCAGAACACTCGGTGGTAAAGATTCCGCCTGCCAATGCAGGAGACACAGCTTTGAGCCCTGGGTCGGGAAGGTCCCCTGGAGGAGGAAATGGCAATCCATTCCAGTATTCTTGCCTGGGAAATCCCATGAACAGAGGAGTCTGGTGGACTACAGTCCATGGGGTCACAAGAGTTGGATAGAACTGAGCGACTAAACAACAACAGTGTTTTCAGGGGATGATCTTAAAGTCTATTTGAGCTTAAGTCTACCTCTTCACAGCTGACTATGGAGGTCTGAAGTAACACTCTTAAGTCCTTCCTACTTTGTAGGACAGTTGAAAAAAACACAGATCTACCAGTAGATTAAGATGAATTCTTGAATAAAAAATAAATGGAAAAAAAAAAGATGAATTCTTGAATAAGTGTTTTAACAAATAGGATTAATCATTATTAAATAATAACTCCTTAAAACTCCATCATACACAAATAAACCTTGAGGGAAAGTCATGAAATGTTATTTTAATTCTTCAGTAATGAGCCCCAACTGGGCTGCAACAAGGGCATTTTCTCCAAATTCTACTCTACGGTCATTCTTATTTTCTTTTAAAGCCATTTATATGCAACCAACAGAAAAGGAGTAATATTTTCTTATAAAGTTACTCAGAACACAGGAGTCATAGCTGACTAATTTTGAAAGGTGATTTAAAGAGCTAAACTTTATAGCATGAACAAGTTTGCAGTAACAGGTGCCAGGTTCTTTATGTCCTTGGGCCCACCTCCCTCACTCTTAGGCACTCTACCATGAAATTGTAAGAACTTTCACCTGTTCACCTCATGAACCAACTATTGATGACTTAAATATCATGATCCTACATGAAAGGATCATAGAAAAAAGGTCTCCTATCAAACTGCAATTCTACCTGCATCCATTCCCTTCTAAAACCATAACAAAACTAAGATTTCATAGAGTCTTCCATAAGCTTCTCCTGAGGAAAAAAAAATTTTTTAACTAGACATTCTAATATATGGAACAAAAGTAGCTAGGAAAAAAAAAAACTTGTCTGCAGTCAAGTTCCTTTATGGTGTATCTTTGTCTTTAAATCACAGTATCTCTTAGGTACCCTTCCAAGCTTACAAGCTTGTAATTCAGAAAGCAACTGTTTTCCGTGACTTAAAATTCTGTAATGTCAAGGAATTCTTCCTTCTGTGATCTCTTTGTTCCTCAAAGAACACAAGAAACAGGTCTTTCCAGAACATACACAGGATCAGCACCACCCACCATAACAATCGTTCAGTTGCTCAGCTGTGTCCGACTCTTTGAGACCCCATGAGCTGTAGCACGCCAGGCTTCCCTGTTTTTCACTGTCTCCCGGATAGCTCATAATAATAGGCTCCTCAAATTTTCATCCCACTTTCCACTACTCTCCTTCAGCAAACAGAGCAGGAAGGGTTTTTTAAGGTCAAGTAATCCATTTCACATTTCTAGGGGAAGTTTAATACTGTTTCTTTAGCCTCATTTCCTTGAGAGTAGAAAAGTTCAGGTTTCTTCTGTTTCCTTTCTTTAGTTAAATAAATACAAAGGCATTCACTCATTTCAGAGCCTTATTTAACTTGGAGTTTTAATACAATTATCAATAGACTGGTTCTCCTATAAGGTGAAAAAAGATAAAGAGCTTTCCCTACTTTTCTCATTAATCTTTTAAGAATGAAACCAAATAACTGGTTTGGCCTTTGATACTTTTATTGGATAAGTAACAATTTTGTGTTTCAACTAAAATAGCTGAAATTCTAACACTTATATATAAAAAAGTACATGCTCCATGCTAGCACAAATGTTAATACAGTTTAATAGAACACAGTGCCATGAAGAAATGAAAACTTACAGCTTGTTTTGGTGGGGAAATAGGCCTAAAAGGATCTAGTGCCAAGGTACTGGATGTAACCGTGTTACTTCCTTCTTCATCTAAACTGTTATGAATCACTTTAATTTTTCTCAACAGCCCTAAGATCAAAACTTTAAGTGGTAAAAAGTAAACCTGCTTTTATTAATCAAATTGATCATACTTAGTGGAAACAGACAAATTCATGGTTTATAAAACATACCTGTATATACACATGCCTCTAAAGTTTACAGACTGAGAAGGGTATTTCAAAGCAATTATTTTGAAATGGCAAAAGGAAGCACTGTCTATTCATGTTATACACTAAAAACAAACCTACATGCATTTGCTAGACAACCATGAGTTCTCAAAGGGAACAAGGAAGTCGATTTGGTTCATGTACTTAACAACCATACTCTTCATTATTATTTTAGATCAAACATTTTCTGATGTTGCTGAACTTTTTATTTTATCCTTCCAGCTTTAGCAAGAAGAAAACAGTATGATAAAGATTTTTATTTCTGGAATTTGGCTTTAAATAACAAAAAGGGAAAGTAATACAAAAAGAATTAGCATGTCACTTTATAAGTTTACTTACTCTTATTTGAAATCTGATAAAATTAGTATTATTAATGCTACAGTTTTATGTCTCTCTTCCACTTCCCATCCTTTGTTGGAAGCAAATTACAAACACTGATTTTTTTATTTGGGAAATTTATCCTGGCTCATTGATGATATGGGAAGAAGTTGAGGACTTACCTTCTGTCAATATACTATTTACAATCTATACGGTTGTCTTTTAATTGCAATAAAAATGATTTAACAAAGTTAATTGCTCCAAATGTCTAGTGACAAGGTGGCTTAAATCCATATTCCAAAATGCATTAAGACACAGAAACGATCACCCCACAGAAATTATTCTGCTGTCCTGGCCTGTTGACTCATTCCGTTTTTCTTATTTGGTTGCCTTATAGGAGGGCCATACTCCCAGCTACTTTTTTCTGCAGTACAAATGATTCTGCAGTACAAAAGGTAGAAGAATAAAAGCTCTCTGAGCTTCACCCCAATGAGAAATGAGAGAAAATTCTCTAAATGTTTGTGTCTCACAGGATATTAGTACCTGAAAAACAAAGCTAATTTCACTTATCACACCTCTAGTACCATTTCTACAAGGCAGGATGGAAAATGAACTTTAAAAGTATGTGAGTCACTATATTCCTTCCCTATGCTCTACGAAGTTTGCCACACATCCTTGCACATTGGCTGTAGAATTACTAGTGAGACCCTAGTTGAAGAAGCAACTTGAGTTTTTCAGGGATGTGAAGATTCTGTGACTTTAAAAAAAAAAAAAAAAGAAAGAAAATAACCAATAAGTCAGAAAACAATAACTTGATCATATCAACAGGAACCAGAATTTTCTAATACTAGCTCAAAGAAAGCAAAGATATTAAATAACTGTTTCCTCTAGGGCTTATACTCCAAAGGGAAGTGATTTTAGGTAGGTCATTTATTCCTCAATGAAAGGAGCAATTTGGGGTATAATCTGATCTGTTTCTCCTTGACCTAATCAGAGGATTCTAGATCCAACTGAAGCAGAGAGAGGAAGAAGATGACTGAAGCAGAGAGAACTGAAATCAATTTTCTTGAACTGTTTTGAAGCTATGAACCAAACTTCTCAACCAGACACTGGATTAGAAGTGTAAGCAAGCATAAAAGTGACAGGCCTTTTATAGAAATCTGCCACTGGGGTCATTATAAATGGTGCAAGTAGAATAAACTAAAGAACCTCCTCAGGAAACTTATGGCTTGGATCTACTACCCTATCCAGGTCAAGATTTTCTTGATCTTTCACAGATCTCTCACTGTACATAATGACAAAGACGAATCTTTTAAAAATACAAATGAGGAAGCAAAAGAAATGAAAATACTGCTGCTGTCTACAAATGAATTGGAGAGAAGTGGGTGCGGGAGGGGGGCGGGAGGTGGGTGGGTAAGTATAAGAGTATACCTGATCAAAGTTAAAGGTTGACAATATTAAAACAGTCCCATCAGGCCTTTTCAAAAAAGTTACTATAACTTGACTAAATAGTTAAAAAGAGAACACCAGAAAAATGCTGATTTATACTAGGTATCATCAATTATCAGACTTCAATGATAGAGTTTAATCCTTTAATAGTAAAGAGTTTAAAGGAAATATCTATCAAAAGGACTTCCATTTCACTCATTAAATAAATCTTCTTGGAGGTCCCCTTCAACTCTTTAGTTTCTATAAACTATATAGACTTCAACTGCCCTGACCTCTTACAACCATTGCAACCAGCAAGGAAATATGTGAAAGACCAAATTTATCAATACAGATTTTTCTGAAGTTTAAGTTCTATGTTTCCAATTAAGCACAGTCTGAGTGAGAATTTAACTCCACTTATTTTGAAGCTATGAACCAAACTTCTCAACCAGACACTGGATTAGAAGTGTAAGCAAGCATAAAAGTGACAGGCCTTTTATAGAAATCTGCCACTGGGGTCATTATAAATGGTGCAAGTAGAATAAACTAAAGAACCTCCTCAGGAAACTTATGGCTTGGATCTACTACCCTATCCAGGTCAAGATTTTCTTGATCTTTCACAGATCTCTCACTGTACATAATGACAAAGACGAATCTTTTAAAAATACAAATGAGGAAGCAAAAGAAATGAAAATACTGCTGCTGTCTACAAATGAATTGGAGAGAAGTGGGTGCGGGAGGGGGGCGGGAGGTGGGTGGGTAAGTATAAGAGTATACCTGATCAAAGTTAAAGGTTGACAATATTAAAACAGTCCCATCAGGCCTTTTCAAAAAAGTTACTATAACTTGACTAAATAGTTAAAAAGAGAACACCAGAAAAATGCTGATTTATACTAGGTATCATCAATTATCAGACTTCAATGATACAGTTTAATCCTGTAATAGTAAAGAGTTTAAAGGAAATATCTATCAAAAGGACTTCCATTTCACTCATTAAATAAATCTTCTTGGAGGTCCCATTCAACTCTTTAGTTTCTAAAAACTATATAGACTTCAACTGCCCTGACCTCTTACAACCATTGCAACCAGAAAGGAAATATGTGAAAGACCAAATTTATCAATACAGATTTTTCTGAAGTTTAAGTTCTATGTTTCCAATTAAGCACAGTCTGAGTGAGAATTTAACTCCACTTTCACTTTTTTCCCCCTTCAAACACAAGGTTCTATAAGCACACAATGCTTTATCTAAAGTTATTGTAATATCGAACAACACCTGGCAAAGATAGAACATTTCAGTAAGAGAAGAGGTCTGTGCTCCTAAAGAGGGGATGGAATCTTATTATAGCATGCTAAATACAAGTATACGAATGAAGGGGCCAAAGCATCAACTATCTGCAGGATACAGAACAAAATTCATTAGAATCATATTCTCTAATAAGATGCCAAATTATCACACAAAGTTGTTAGACTGGCAAACTCTCCTCAGTTAGCACTGTTCACAAGCCTTATTCCAACTATACAGACCAGAAAGTCAGAACCAGATTTTAGTCACATCTATGGTATCAAGATCAAACTTCTAACTTCTGTGCCACTAAATACCTTAACTTTCTAAAATGTCTCCTAAGGACCAATATCAAAGGTAAGTAACTACAGCCCACGTTATTCCATCTTTTCAGGATCCAAATCATGACTAGAGTTCACTTTCTATATCCCCCTAATCTATGTATTTTGTTAATTTTTTGGTAGAAAGTTGGGTTTCTCATTATTCATTTCACTACCTTAACATTTCTAACATTTAGCAACTGTTCAAGATAACAAGGGAAATTCTTACTCTTGCAGGATGACAGAAACAGAAGTAGTAGCTTACCTAAATTACTATAATCACTATGACCCATTAGAAGCCAAATAACACCCATGGTTGAATCTTAACAGGAAACTTAGCACCACTGGTCTATTATTAAAAATAAAAAAAGTCATTTCCTAAATGCCTTGTAATCATATGACAGGCCAGTCTTTGGTGGGTTAATATTTCTACAGCTTCATTACCTGTTTACTTCTAGAATGTTACAAAAAGCTTTGTGCAGGAAAGGATCACTAAAAATTGGAAGACTAAGAAAAAATGGATGATTCGGCTTATACTTCCTATCTCCTTTATTAAATGACGCCTTTTCTCCTCAAAGCAAGCCCATTAAAACTGGAAAGCATGTCCATTTAAGAGGAAGCTTATGGCTACCAATCTTTTGCAAATTACTTAATCAGAGAATTCCAGGATGTTTCTCCAGGAAAATATTTCCTTCCCTGTCCACTTTAGAGTAACTGATGCTCTGTTACAGGTGTTGCTGAGGTTACAGAAATTCAGACAGAATTTAGAACGTAAACAAGCCGTGTCAGCACATGAATGTGAAAGAAGTAAAATGTCATGTAAAAAAATGGGAGGCAAAAAAGAAATGAAAGACCTGGGAGCTTTCTTAAAGTTATGTTCTGACTAAATATTATACGCTTGGCTTAAAGAAAAAAAAATTAATGTAATTTAATCTGCATCTAATCTCTTTTCACTGTCATTCAATAATCAACTCTGAAACAATATTAGAGATAAAGGTTTACTATAAATGTTTTAACAGTCTTTGCCTCTGCTCTTTAACGTGGCCTTCCCAATACTTTCAGTCTACTACTGCAAGTCTTAGCTTTGATTACCTTCTAAGGATTATACCATTTCTGCAGAGTCACTCTTACAGACTCTCACTCTCTCTCTTATCTTGAACCTTTGATTAAAAAATTGCTCTCACTCAAAGAGCAGGAGTTGATCGAATGGCAAAAAAAAATACACACACATGCATTCATGACATGATATGGAATATATGAAATGGATTGTGAAAGTGGGGGAGGAATAAACTTTATTGGCCCATAGAAGGGATGAGGGAAAAGAAGGGGGGTGGTGAGCAAACTAAAATGGAATGATACTATAGTGTGCAAATATACCTTGTAACCTCCACCATTCAACTTAGAGGCAGTTATGAACAGTGAAATACAGGTAGACTAAGTGAGTTTCACTTTGTAGGTGATGCTACTGGTACCAGTTCTATCATTAGTAAGTCACCGTTTAGTTCAGACAGGGCTCTCTGGTTAGTGCACACAAGGGTCTCCATCCCGGGCTGCAGTCTGACCCGCCAGTGCTCAGAAGCCATGCTCGTGACGAACTCGCACACTTTCCAGTTCCCCACCTCCAATGGCGGCCATGGTCTCCAGCCTGCTTAAGCGCTCCAGGCTTCTTCCGAGAACTTCTTCAAGCCGATTGCGTATCACCTGGGCCCCTTCTAGTTCCACCTGCAGAGTTCGGTCTCTCTCAGAGCTAATTAAACATGCCACACATGGAAGGAAAATGAATTAGCCATCAATGTAACGAGTCCATTGTTGTTGTTTAGTTGCTAAGTCATTTCCGACCCTTCTGTGACCACATAGACTGTAGCCCCCCAGGCTCCTCTGTCCATGGGATTTTCCAGGCAAGCATACTGGAGTGGGTTGCCATTTCCTTCTCCAGGGAACCTTCCGGACCCAGGGATCAAACCTGTGTCCCCTGCATTGTAGGCAGATTCTTTGCCACTGAACTACCAGGGAAGCCCATAATGAGTCCATAGATGCTTCCAAAGAGCCAACAGTGCCACTCTGAGCCATGAGACTCTAGGAGCCACATTTTACTGTGTCTCTCGAATACAATCAATGAACGTGGTCTTTGTTGTGGCCTGTGTCCACTGCTGGTAGACTAGCAAGGTCTGCTTTCTGTAGTTTGTCCCTTTATCCTAGATTCTGGGCCAATCTGACATAAAATTATAGTTCCTAATATTAGGTAACACCACTATAAGGTTACTAGGAGAAATTTCATTTTTTAACTGAACGTGTTAAGTTTCTGAAAAACCAAAACCAAGGAAAAACTAACTGCAAACTGAACTGATATTGAGCCAAGTAGGGTTGGTTGCTACTGAAGGTATATGTTTTATCATTTGTTAACCAAACTTTACAGTACTCTGAGAAAGAATCCAGTTCACAAAGAGCCAGAGATTCTTTAACAAGCAACACAAGTGGTCCTATTGTACCCTTCCTCTGCCTTCATTTTCTTGAAAGAGAAAGAAAACAAATTTAACGCAACAATAAATTACAGAAAGCTGAATAGTAACAAAAAATAAAAATTAGGAAAGAAATAAAGGGGCTAGGAGGGAGGGAAAAACAAGAAAAAAAATAAAGGGAATAGAAAATGTACCAGAAAGATAATAATGCATATGACCAAAAATTAAGAGGTACAGGAAAACATATTCATCACGATGGCTATTGGTAATCCTGCAATAATTAGTAGCTATAACAACAAAAATTTTTCTTCAGTGACATTCAATGACTATCAGGGCCCTTTACAGTCCTACTCTTATTATTTTACTATAATGAAGCAGTCTTTAATAGGACAAGGAGCAAAGAAATGAAAGAAATATACAAGTTCTTACTACATGCAAGGTACTAATTGAGACAACTGACATGTATTCGTATTTGATCTTTGCAATAACTACATGAAACAGGCAGTATTCCTGACTTAGTTTAGACACTGAGGCTCAGAGGAATCCATAAAACAAATGACAAATTGGACCCCAGCAATGGTCCACTTTCTTTTTCTTCCCACTTTGTAAGCTGTAGGCATCTGCATGTGACGAGGAATAAAAGGAAAAACAGCACAGTTACTCTCTCACCTCTCTGGATGGGCATGGAACTTCACCAGACTGCTATAGAGCTGTCTCTCTGCCTGTAAGGCCTCATTGAGCCGACTCCGCTCATCTACCAGTCCTTCAAGCATCAGCAGCAGCTGAGGGGAAAAAGAAGTGAACCAGCACTCAAACAGAAACATGAAGCCACAGTTAATTCTGAGAAAGAGATCAAAAGAAAGTATCAGCAAGGACTAGGACTCAAACAGCTTGCTATCTCATTACTGACTTAACCTGTCTATATAGTATGTACAGTTTTCAAGTCAATGCCATATTTGTCATAAAGTTTTTTATCTTTAAAACTCTATAAGGCAGAATTCAAATAGGGGAGGAAGAAGAAAGAAGAAAACAAAGCCAGAAACACAGGAGACAGGCTAAGAGAAGGGGGAGATGGGAGAGACAGGAGAAGGGGGAGACAACGAAAGGATAGGGGCAAGAGGGACATAGACAAGAGGACTCACAAGTGCTTTTCATTCACTGAATAAACATTTACTGGGCCCCTTCTCTGTGCCAGGTTCTAAGGACAAACTTACTATCTGGCTGGGGAAAAGACAGCCATCAGTCACAGGTGTCACTGTGAGCTACAGTAAAGTGCTCTAAAGAAGACGACCTATGATAATGCATGACCCGCAATCTGTTTAAGTGAACTGGTAGAGTTAAAGCCAGTTTGGAGTGAGATGAGTAGTCAGTGTCTAGAGACATGGTAACAGAGACACGGAGGAGTACAGGTAAACTGGTCTTTTGATTAATAACAAGTCTGGCATTCAAGAAAGGTCAGATCTGGGGCAGCAGTTACAGTGGAACCACATGTGCTATCAAACAGCAACTGTGGCTGCTACTGGCCACGGTGGGGAACTTGGGAGCCTAGATTCTTGATGAAATTCCAGCAACAGCCACCATCATAAGTAACTGACATCTTGTTCACTGTTTATTTTGCAGTAAAAATAAGGCCTGTACTCCAATAGCTTACTTGTTGTCTTCGGTTTCCGGATGTCTCCTGTCCTTGTGATTCTACTGAAGCAACTTTTTCCCGAAGAAGCAAGACTTCCTGGGTCAGGCGTTCCATAGCCGGGATGTCTTCAGGATCAACCAGCTGCATCTGCAGGTCCTAAAAGTCAAAAACACTAGTAATAAAAATAGTAATGAAAAAAAATGCTACTCAGCAGAGGAACAAATGCTCTTGAAATAATCTACTATACATTAAATGGGATATTGATAAGCTGTGATAGTAACAACAGCTTCTCCATGAAATCTGAGCAACTCTGATATCAGTCAGAGAGAATATGGTAACACCAAGAGGCTCAAACGAACAGTGCATCTAGAAGACATGCACCAGCACAGGGACTCCATGAATCCAAGTGCTGTTTAAAGCTGAAGGTATTCTGAGCTGGAATCATTTCCAAGAGTCTTTCAAAAGCGTTGAATGACCTTTATGAGGTCTTCCTTGATCTGTATGGTCCTGGTCAGGGACTCCATGTCCGCAGCCTGAACCTGCAGCTCTTGCTCCTGCATTGCCACCATGGACTGGAGTGCAGAGAGTTCCATCTGTGGAGAAAGAAACCCTGAAGTCAGTGGGCAGAGGAAACAGCGGGTGTCATGGTTACATTTGACACTGAAGCAGATGCTTTTCCATATCATATCATTATCAACCAGTAGTGCAAATAAAAACTAGAACATGAATACTGAGTTACTGGATCAGATCCATAAACCACACCATGTGGTACCAAAGGATGTTTCACAGGAAGTTGTAATGTTGTTTTAATGATGTCCTCTACTTTTTGTTAGCACTACACAACATACCAAGTTGGTTTGATTTTTTAAATTTTTTTTTTGGCTGTACTGCATGACATGTGGGATCTCAGGGAATTCCAGCAGCATTAGTCTTAATTGAGTATATGTGAGAGAAATAGGAACAACATAATGGCTAGGGTAAAACCGAAATTTTAGAAAAGGAGGGAAACTAGGGGAATTTTTTTAAACTCGTATTTTTAAAATGCCACACAGTTTCACATCCTCAAAACTTGAGTCATATAACATGATTCTGTTTGTAAGGAGAGATACGGTAATGAAAAGAAATACAGTAAGATAATTTCATCACAAATATGAACACAGGTTTTATATTATAGATCTAACTATGGGAAAGAGGTGGAACAAAAACAACATAATGGCTAGGGTAAAACCGAAATTTTAGAAAAGGAGGGAAACTAGGGGAATTTTTTTAAACTCGTATTTTTAAAATGCCACACAGTTTCACATCCTCAAAACTTGAGTCATATAACATGATTCTGTTTGTAAGGAGAGATATGGTAATGAAAAGAAATACAGTAAGATAATTTCATCACAAATATGAACACAGGTTTTATATTATAGATCTAACTATGGGAAAGAGGTGGAACAAAAACCGAGGAGCTATATAGACTGGCCAACTAAACTTAATTTAGGAACCCATGACACTGTCTGATCTTCAAGTAGAGGCCATGGTGACATAAAGGTTTTTAGTTTCAGCCTGTAACCCTATACTGTGGCCCTAAAGCTTCCTCTCTCTGCATCCAAGTTGGACAAACAACTAGTATAGGGAGGCAGAAGGGGAAGGGATTCTGTAAGGCTGAGAGGCCTCTAAGAAAATGATGAAAACTGTCACTAGAAATAGAGCATATGGATGGGAAAAATTATCTGCTCCAGGAAAGGACTTCTGAGGAAGCATGCTGAGTCACAGAAGACCTGAGCTTAAATGGTAGCATTAGTATTTTATAGTCACATAACGATTCCCCTCCTTCACCTTTTAAAACAGTGTTTCAGCTTCTTCTTCTATAAAATAGGACCAACATTAACCTACTTTGCAGAGTTGTAAGTATTAGTGCTAATTTAAATGCCCAGTGCAGTGCATAACATATAGCAAGTTCTCAATAAACATTATGGATCTTTCTTGAATGTCTCTTGTTCTATGTTTCTAAAACTAATTTCATGGATCTGTCATAATTATAAGCAGCAATTATATAGCACTTCATTTTTTTCACAAGTCCTCTATAATTATCTTATTCCAGTTAGACATGGGTAAAGAAAACTGTGTTCTTTCAGCACTTAAAAAGTTTTAATAATCCTCATTTATAAAAACAAGAGCATCTTGGTGAGATAATGTAAATATAAAGCAATTTCTACTTTTCTCTAGAAAGAAAAAAGGCTCAACTTGCATTTGGACCCAGATATTATACTTGGAGAATTTCACTCTTTCCTTTTTTAAAAAAATTTTTAAAAAAAATTTATTTACTTTTAATTGGAGGATGATTGCTTTGCAATGTTGTGTTGGTTTCTATAATACATCAACATGAATCAGCCATAGGTACACATATGTTCTCTCCCTCTTGAATACTTAAAACTCTTTTGGAAAAAAAAAAATAGGAACTTAGAAATNCCTCCCACCTCCCTCTCCACCCGGTCCCTCCGGGTCCCCCCAGTGCACCAGCCCCGAGCACCTGTCTCATGCACCCAACCTGCGCCGGTGATCCGCTTCACCCTAGATAATATACATGTTTCAATGCTGTTCTCCAGAAACATCCCACCCTCGCCCCTTCCCAGAGTCCACAAGTCAGTTCCACACATCCGAGTCTCCCTTTCTGTCCTGCACACAGGATCATCATTACCATCTCTCCAAACTCCACACACATGCGCCAGTACACTGCAATGGTCTCCATCCCTCTGGCCCACTTCGCTCCGTACAATGGGCTCCAGTTTCATCCATCCCACCAGAACCGATTCAAACGAATTCCCCCCAATGGCTGAGTAACATTCCATGGTGTACATGCACCACAGCCTCCCCATCCATTCGTCCACTGATGGGCATCTGGGCCGCCTCCATGTCCTGGCTACCATAAACAGTGCTGCGATGAACACTGGGGTGCAGGTGTCTCTCCCAGATCTGGCCTCCCTGGCGTGCATGCCCAGAAGTGGGACCGCTGGGCCACAATTTATTTACTTTTAATTGGAGGATGATTGCTTTGCAATGTTGTGTTGGTTTCTATAATACATCAACATGAATCAGCCATAGGTACACATATGTTCTCTCCCTCTTAAATACTTAAAACTCTTTTGAAAAAAAAAAAAATAGGAACTTAGAAATTAGACTTAACTAGAAAACTCACCCGACTTTCTCTCTCTTTTTTAGCCATGAGCTCAAGTTCCTCTTTGGCATTACTCAGTTCTTTTTCCAGCCCTGCAACTGTATCCAAGTCTCCTAAAGATGAATACATAGTGCTAGTTATAATCAGTATCAACATAATATGATCTGTCCTGCCTTGTTTCTGAGGAATTTATTCTAAGATACAATCCAATAACAATGAAACATATATACACAGGATGTTCTTTGCAGCATTATTTGCAATAACAAAACACTGCAATCCATCTATAAGCCTATAAAAAGAAGATTGAATATGTATAGTATATCCACACAATGAAGTTCTATATATAGCTGTAGAAAAGAATGAGGAATATCTTTATGAACGGATATGGAGTGATTTCTAAGATATTAAGTACAACAAGCTGTTTAGAAAAGAATACATCTACGGAGTATGTTTTCTGTTAGGAAAAGGGAACACATGCATGTTACATACACACATAGGATTAATCTGCTTACTTCTGTAAAAAGAAACACAGGAAGGATACCTCAGAAATGAAACCAGTTGCCTTCAGAGGATAAGTGAAAACAGGAGAGAAAGGACAGAGAAGTAGATGGGACTTCTGAGTACACTTTTCTATATTTTTGAGCTTTGAACAATTTTAATGTTTTATTATTAATGGGTAAAGTTAGTTCAGCAATAATGAGGAAGAAAAAGCCCAAACTGAATACTAACAAAAATGAATGAAACTAAACAGCAAATAGATAAGATAATCACCCAGAATACAACTTAAAAAATTAATCCAAATAATTTTTGAACCCAGTATTCAACTGTACATCCTCAGTTGGAAATATTCTAAGGATAATAAGAATTACAAAGAAATTTTAAACATTATTTAATAGATTTACTTTTGATAGTGGTACTCATATAGCCATTCTGAAACTATTTTTCTGTATTATGCAAATATATAGATGCAGTGATGTTATAGGTAACCAGGTTTCTCAATGTTGGGAGAAGGGAGATATAAATATAAAATGAGGGAGAGAAAGAACTTTTACTGTTAAACTGGAATTAGAGGAACCAGTATCAAAAGGTGATACACACACACATCCTTAGCTCTTTTCATTTAAAAGGCCCTAGAAGCAAAGGATATACCTGAAGTTATGAACTTGTGCCCAGGTATTAGTATATAAAAGCCATTATGCAGTAAAAGGAACTAGAGAGCTCCCTGAAGTAATAGATAATTTCAGGGCTGAGGCAGGCAAAGAAAAATGTAATTATATAACCTCTTCTTGTGCCAGAAAGTATGGAAATAATCAAAAACTGATGAAGAATTACTGAAAGGACAGAGGAACAGTTTGAAGGGGCTCCAATTAGCCAAATCCCAGATAATTTGGTCATCAAGCAGAAGAATGACAGAAATGGATAATAGTTTTTTTAAAAAACAAACCACCCATTACTTCATACTGATATAAACAAACAAATGGAATAGAAAGGATAGGGAAAGGGCACCTCTTCTTTATACAAGAAGACACACTACTAAAGAAAGAAGGAAATTTAGAAACAGAAAATCAGTCTTCTAAACTACCAAAGTAACAGTGGGTACAAGCAAGCTTGAAGGATGCTAAAACCACTGGGTGAATAACTGTGGGAAAGCAGAACTATCAACACCTTAAGGTATTTGGGCAGATCACTTATCACTTATTAATTACAAAGCGGAAAACGAACCTTTACCATGGACACATCTGGTGGATACAACCTTAACCGAATGACTAAACTTAATATCACTCAGCATAACACAAGTAGATACCATGTGTTACTGAGGCATTGCACCAAGAAAGATATCACCCATGCAGCATTCTTGCCAAAGATGTTCAGCTTGAATCTAACCATGAGGGGACAACCAGAGCCAAACTGAGGGTCATTAGCTGGCCCAGAGCTTTAAAAAATGCCAGTGTCAGAGAACAGACGTGTGGTTGCCAAGCGGGGATGGCGGAGAGTTGGATTGGGAATTAGGGGCTGGCAGGTGCAAACTATTATATACATAATGGATAAACAACAAGGTCCTACTGTATGGCAAAGGGAACTATATTCAATAACCTGTAATAAACCATAATGTGAAAGAATCTGATAAAGAATATATAGAACAGAATCACTTTGCTGTACACTGGGAACAAACCACAACATTATAAATCAACTACACTTGAAATTGAAAAAATGGCTAATTGCAAACAAAAGACAAAAAAGGCTAGAAAATGGTTCTAGATCAAAGGAGACTAAAGAACCATGACAGTAGGGAGGGAAGAAAACAACCAGCAATCAAGAGTATTACAGGGACAACAGAAACCCTGAAAACAGACTGCACATCAGATACTGCTACTGCTGCTGCTAAGTCGCTTCAGTCGTGTCCAACTCTGTGCGACCCCATAGACGGCAGCCCACCAGGCTCCCCCGTCCCTGGGATTCTCCAGGCAAGCACATTAGATACTAGGACTATGTTAAAGCTACATTGACTGAACATGGTAATTGTAGTTATCCGGGAGATTGCCCTTGTTTAATGAAGTATTTAGGGATGAAGTGTCAGGATCTCTGTAATTTTTAAATGATTCAGAAAAAACATTACACCTGTGTGTACATGCACATACATGCAAGAAATAAGGCAAAAGTTGCAAAATGTTAACAGTTGGTGAATCTTAATAAAAATGTACTTGGGTATTCACTGTACTATTTTTGCCACTTTTATATAGGTTTGAAATTTACAAAATAAACTGGGGAAAGATGCTTTTTTAAAAAAGTAAATAGGGAGTAAATTAAACAAATCCAGCATCTTTACTCTTCGAATAGAATAGTTTCCCACTAAAAAATGATGACTTGCACAACTTACCTATGAATTCCACAATGTCCTATACTATAAAACAGACACAAAGTTTTTACATTCTGAAAATCATTTAAAAAACCGTAAGTTAATTCTTCAAGTCCACAACACTTCTATCAGCACTATAATCACCAAGTCACTAATCATGGCGAGCCCCTGTTTCTGTAACACTTCTCCAGATCCTAATATTTTGGTTTCTGAGACTAATCTAAGGCATTCATTTTGAGTTTTACTCACACCTCACATATAATTCAGTTACTTTTATGGAGTTCAAGGCCTACAACCATCTCCTCGATGGGGCAGAGCCTGGCAAATGACTCACTGTACATTGCCTACTCTTCCCAATACTGTAATGTAGCTTATGTCTAGGTATAGTAAGTAGCCTCAGCTTGCTTCAAAGATACTCAGGAGAAGGTACCAGCCCCATGGTCCTGCTGTGCAGGTTTGAAAACACTGCCTCCTGCATTCTTGAGTCCCTGCAAAGCTATCTGAAAAGTAAAATTAGGATGCAACTTCTTTGGGCCAAATTGTATAGCCAGAACAATAGCTTTAATTCAATGTAAGGTAAAGTCAGTTCTCCCTAGAATAGACATATCTTCAGTCTTTCAGTGGAATCCAAGCTTATTTTTTCCATTAAGGTAGGAAGAGAAAGAAGGTCTTGGCCAAATCTGTTAACAGAGAGTTACAAGAAGGAAAGACAGAGATTCCTTAATTAAATCAAATTTGATACTTACCTAATGACGACCTGGGTACGCTAGCATCTCCTTTGGCAGTCAATGAAGTGCTATCATCTCTGGAGGGTATATGCACTGAACCCTAAAAATTGGAAGAGTTGGGGGATTTAGGAAGATACAGGAACCATGATCACAATGACTGGACTTGGAACATCCTCACACAACTTGGTATTAAAATTATCATACTTATGCCTCAGATATAAAAAGAAAATGCAGCTGGCATAAACATCTATACAAGTCTATAGTTCTTACTTGATCAGTTTGCTCTCCGAGATGGGGGCTGACAGAGGTGACTTCAGCTGGTCGGTTAGAGAGGAGTGCTTGGGACATCATGAAATCTTTCCCTCCTAAATATTGGCGCAGGGCCTGTAATTCTGAATTTCTTTCCATTAGAGCTTGTACCATCTTTTCTGCAGCAGCCTAGTAAGGAAATCACAGGCAACAGGAGAGAAAGATTCTAATAAAACAAAATTTGTGTTCTGATGTCATTTGTTAAAAGCCAACCATTTAAAAAAAAGTTAGTGGGGCTCTAAGAAATCATTTTCTTGCTTTCGTTTTATAGGAAAAAAACAGTCAAGGAGTGGAAAGAAAGTCTCTCATAGACAGAATACTGGAAAAACAGAACATAACATGTCTATCATAGATAAACTAATCCGAAATTAGTTCTGCTAGAAATGCCAGGCTAATAACATATTGAACTGGGCGACTGATGTCTTTCTTTACTCAGGGATACATGTGCTTTTGGCATGGATGGTCTTTGCCCAAACATTTGTCGTTTGTGTGGTTTGCTCCCTTAAAGTGTCTAGGACAGTCATGTCTGACTCTTTGTGACCCCATGAACTATAGCCTGTCAGGCTCCTCTGTTCACGCAATTCTCCAGGAAAGAATACTGGAATGGGTTGCCATTTCCTTCTTCAAGGTCTTTGCCAAATTTCAACTTTTCAGATTGGCCTTTTCTGCATTTCCTATCTAAATGCAGCAAACTCATCTCTACTTCCAATCTCTGCTGACCTGCTACATTTTTTTTTACATTGCACTTACCAGTAATCAATATATCTATTATTGTCTCTCTCTCCCCCAACACCTGCAACTGGATGAAAGAGCAAGCACTATGATTTTTTATTCACTGCTGAATCCCAAGCTCCTAGAACAGGGTCTGGCCCATAGAAGGCACTCAATACACAGGCACTCAAGACCTAGATATTGAATGAATCACACAGAAACATTTTCATCAGACCACATGACCAGGAGAATCTGTACCTCAAAATCACACCAGTTTATTTCATTTCAAATCCCATAGTTTACTGAGACACATGATGGCACAATAAGGAAAAAACTGATCAAGAACCTGCCTGCCAAAGCAGGAGACATAAAGAGACATGGGTTTGATCCCAGGGTTGGGAAGATGCCCTGGAGGAGGGCATGTCAACCCACTCCAGTGTTCCAGCCTAGAGAATCCATATGGACAGAGGAGCCTGGTGGGCTATAGTCAACAGGGTCACAAAGAGTCAGACACAACTGAAGCAACTTTAGCATGCACACCACATAGAAAGTCTGCATTTAATCAGAAAATCCAGAAAAGAATAAACTAAGACTAAAATTACTAAGAATGTAAGATGATGGCTATGTTAGACATAGCATCAACTATCTCTGGGGAGAATTACTACTGTTTTAAATAAGAAGCTGAGCCCTTGTCATAACTTCTAAGAGAAATGAAAGAACAATCTTCTAGTTTTAGCATGGAAAATTCAGACTCTTTAGGGATTTGGACATAACCATCTTAGAGGTAACAGTATGTTACTAATTTGCCTTAGTAAAAATCTCTTAGATTATGGGAAGAAACAGAGTAAATAATACACAAGATATCTTGTGTCATACATATGATCTAACTGGCTTGACTCTTTTTCTAGCAATGCTGCTTTTAGTACCACTCCTCCAAGTGTGGTTCATGGACCAGCAGCATAACCATCATCTGAAAGCTTGTAAGAAATGCAGATTTTTTTGAGGCTATGCTTTTTAAAAGCTATTTGAGGGATTGTTCTGCAAATAAAGTTCAAGAAGCACATCTAGAAGAATACAATCACTACTCTTCCTTGAGCTGAAGATGTTGTGTAATTTCAGGCATCTCTTAGATTCCATTATTTTACTACCAACATTTAACTACCAACAAATACACAACATATATGTGTATATTAAGTATAATATGACTAATTCTTTCACATGACAAAGGGGTGAAAAAGAAAACTCAAAGACTCATTAGTCTCCTGCCAAATTTTTAAATAACTTACAATGATTTTGTTAGGTTATTCTAAAAGCAGTTTCTACAGCACAAAGCAGCATGTTTCTAACAAAATGTGTATTTACTGCAGTGGGCCTAAGAACTGGATGAGTAGACTATAACCATCCCATAATACAAGGAAGCATTAGAGACTATTACAGTCAAATAACATAGGCAAATGATAAGAATCTATTTCCCTCTGAAAACTGACTAGGCGGAATTCTGAGTGATCCCTGAACTGTAGTACAAGTCAACTATACCAGACTCTAGACTATAGGAGAAAGATACATGGAAATGAGGATAAATTGAGAATTTGCTTTTGAAATATTTGTGTATTGTTATTTTGAAATTACTATACCCCATATTATTATGAGATTGTTTATTCTCATCATGGCTTTGAAAAAAATCTTTTCTTCCCTCTTAAGATAACTCAGATTTTACATGAATTAAGAGAAAATGTACAAAGAAAAAGCTTCCCCATATCCTGGGAAGAAACAAAATAGCACTCAAGTCTTGATAATTTAGAATCGAAATCAAAACACTCCAGAACCCCATATTCCTTTCAGTCAAAATTATCAGAACATTAAGGAAAGGAAAATGTTATCAATACATAATGAACTTAATGAGTGGGGATATGTATTATTTAGGCACCCTCCAAATGCAAAGTGTTCTAGAAATAGTTCACATGGGCTTCCCTGGTGGCTCAGCTGGTAAAGAATCCCCCTGCAATGCAGGAGACGTGGTTTTGATCCCTGGGTTGGGAAAATCCCCTGAAAAAGGGAATGGACCCACTCCAGTATTCTGGCTGAAGAATTCCAAGGGCTGTATAGTCCATGGGGTCTCAGAGTTGGATACGACTGAGTGACTTTCACTTGATGATTCATGTAAAACTACAGTCTACTCAATAGGCTGAAGGAAAAAAAGCTAAGAGAATGGACTTAAGACAACATAAGACTTCCCTGGTGGCTCAGACGGTAAAGCGTCTGCCTACAATGAGGGAGACCTGGGTTCGATCCCTGGGTCTGGAAGATTCCCTGGAGAAGGAAATGGCAACTCACTCCAGTACCCTTGTCTGGAAAATCCCATGGATGGAGGAGCCCGCTGCAGGCTACTGTCCGTGGGGTCACAAAGAGTCGGACACGACTGAGCGACTTCACTTTCACTAAGACGACATAAATTTTACAAGTTATAAGATTCTAATGCTTTCTATAGTGTGGACTATAAATGTACAGGGCAATACTCCTTCAGCCTGTGCATTAGTCCTTACTTGGCTCTCCTGCTCTCTGGTGCTCATGGACTGAAGCAGGCCCTGAATCTCCATTTCATATTCCACCGCTTGCTTATTCCGATCACTTAGAAGGTCCTGCAGCATCCTTTCTTTCCGCTGTAGACGCTGGCACAGCTCCTCAGCTATCTCACTCTGCCCTGGTCCAAGTTTGCAAAGCAACGTCGCGGTAAGATCCTAATACAGGAGAGACAGTGTAAGTTCTGGAGGAAAGAATTCCCTCTAATACACATCAAAGGGCTTAAAAGAATCTATCATAGAAGAGACAGCAAGTATGATGTTTTACTCATTTTTGTTGCCCCAGATCTAGCACAGGCCTTGAACGTAAAAGACTGTCAATACACACTCAGTGAATGAACACTAATAATACAGAAAAAAAACTTAGAAGGGCAACTTACATGTTGTTTTCTAAAATAAGTCCTTTCCATATATGCTCAGGGCACATAATAATATTAGATGGAGATAAAAGGGCACTCAGTTCATTTATTTTATTTTCTCCCCAGTTTAACTTTATAGGGGAACACAAAATGATAAACTGCAAAAAACAACAAGCACTGTTTTTATAAGCATGGTGATGTAGTTCCTAGGTCTATACTAGGAGGTAATACATGGTTGTTAAAACTGTGGAGCCACACCATCTGGGTTGCACACTGGTTATACCACTTATTAGCTATGTCACTTTGGACAAGTTAATTCACTTCAGAAGTCTGTTCCCTTGACTGTAAAAGAGGAATAACAGTATGTACCTCATAGGTTTGCAAGGATTCAGTGAACTAATATCCATTAAGCTCTTAAGACGGGGCTTCCCTGGTGGCTCACTGGTAAAGAATCTGCCTGCAATGCAGGAGATCAGGGTTTGATCCCTGGGTGGGAAAGATCCCCTGGAGAAGGGCAAGGCAACCCACTACAGTATTCTTGCCTGGAGAATCCCATGGACAGAGGAGCCTGGTGGGCTACCGTCCATAGGGTTGCATAGAGTCAGACACGAGCAAAGCGACTAAGCAGTAGCAGTAAGCTCTTATAACAGAGCCTGACACAGCATACGCACCATAACAAAGGTTAGTTATCATACTGTGGGTATATCTTTTAGATCTCATTAATTCTCACATAACTTCTTTGAGAAAGATATAATGGTCCCTTTGAGCTTATAGGTATAGGGAAAAAATTCCCGTGAAAGCCAATGACCTACCCAGGCACAGGATGGAATTAAACACTTGGGTCACCAGCCTCTCAGACCTCAAGAGTCCTAATCCAAGACTGTGATTATGTCATCATTAAACCAACTGCCCTTAAGTTAACTAAATCCTTGCCTCCACTTCTTTGTTCCTGTCATGTAGAGATGTCTGTAGCTGTTGAATGATGCTTTCTTGCTCCTTCTGCCATCGGTTAAATTTGGTTTCCATTTCTTCTTTCAGCCACTGGAGGTTCTGACAGGTGGCAGACAACTGCTCCACTTCCAAGCCTTTGGACCTCAGGAGACTCTCCATACTCTACAGTCACAGAGACAGCAGTTGTTAAGTCAAAGAGCCACCCCACACTCCTCGGCATGAACAGGAGACCTGACCCACCTTTACATCATCTCCTACATTATCTGATCTATTTATTTTGCAAAAGGAAAAACTTTGTATCTAATCTAACAATGCCATATTAGTCTATTTTTTGTTATTAGAAACTCTTATCTAGTTTGTAGAGAGATAGATATAATGTATGTCCTAAATAAAGTATTTTGGATGAAGTGAAGAACTTCTTTAAGAAGTTCCAGATGGTTAGATATTAAAGATATAAAAGAAATGTACAAAAATAGCCCAAAGTAAATATTAATAAGAGAAACAAGAACTCTAGACTGCGGTTATACACAGACATGTACATAATATTAATGAGAAAAATACAATATAATAGTTGCATCTGAGCAATGGTTCTATAAAACATATAAACACTGACAAGGATTAGAAATAAATTAGAACTATGAATCCAGATTCACTGCCCTGTCCTATAAAGTTCATACTAGAAGTGCTAAAACTTCTCACTCCATAGTCTATGATAACAGAAATGATTGCTATTTTTGTTTGGTTTTGTATTTTTTTATATACAAAACAAATATCCTGATCTTCAGCAAATAATGGAAGGGGTGATGCTTCAGGCTTAGAATCCAAGTGGGAGTGGGATGCCAAGTCATGACGGAGCTTGTTCTCACCTGCATGGTAGCTTCATTGGAGGACAGGATACCGCGCAGCCTCTCTAAGTCGTGGTCTCGCTCTCTCATGGCAAGACGAAGTTGACGCAGTTCCTTTTCCTTTTCTTCTAGGCTGGAGAACTTTTCATCTATAGCCCGCTGCAAGCAAAGGAAGCATCCCAAAGCTCCGTAAGAGCCACTATTCTGATTACGCTTATTCAATAAGATTCCAAATATAAAAGAATAGAAAACCAACTCCAAAAAGCAGCCAATTCAGCTAACACACATTTCTAGAGTCCCTCTGGGGACAGAATAACCCATAGCCTCGTGAGCAGAATTATGGTACATACCTCTAGGGCAACATCTCTATCTTGTATTCTTTGCCTAAGTTTCTCAAGCAACATTTCATTTGCTTCAAGGGTTTTGTCCGAGTTATTTCGGTACTGCAGGAGCTCCCGAAATTCCTAACAGGACCAAGAAATAATTTCCTTTATTCATTTTACTTAGTATTAACTGAATTCCTACACTGTGTCAAGCAATCTGTTAGGTGTTTCAGGATAAAAAACACAAAGTGATCACTCTCAAGGAGATCACAGTTTAGCAGAGATAACAGACACACAAGGTGCTAACAATTCTGCATCATATATATGTGAGTATACATAAACACATCTACTGGGGGAACACAGGCTGCATTGTCTAACTCTGCCTGAAGGTGTCACTAAAGTTCGCATGAAAGAGGTTACATTTGCTCTTAAAGCACCAGGAGTTTCCTAAGAGGCTGTGTTGGGTATTTCCATCAGAGAAAAAACGTAGGTATAATATATGTATGCGTATTATAAAAAAATCATATGGTCAGTGAAATATAAGGTATTCAATGTGAGTAAATCTTAGAGTAGGTGGTAGAACTGACCACTCTCTTCCTTAGTCTTCCATTTTTTCCCCTATAACTTACATTTTATCATCTAAATAACTGGATATATAGAGGTCTTCAGTGGGAGCAGAAGACATATCTTCTCTTCCTCTTCCCCATTCCTGGCCTGGTATCTGACTCACAGAGATGCTTAATAACTATTGGCTGAACATTTACTGTTTAAGTCTTTCAGGTCTGTAGGTCCTATGTCCTACACTTGCTGGTTATCTTCTTGGTTCACGGACTGTACTTTCTGTTTCTTTTGAATCCTCCTGGTTCCCACATCTCAATGTTCTACATGTAGTGGGTACTCAAGACAAGTGGACAGACACTTTGAGATGATATGAACGTAAATTCCCGTGTCCTGTGAACCCAGTGTTAGCTGAATCATTCTGTGGACTCACCTGAAGCAGCTGCTCTTTGTGACCCAGACTGTGGTGGAGGTGCTGAATGTGCTGCTCTTGGGTGCGAATCTCATTATATTTTTCAGCCTCCAGGGTATGAAGCTGTTGGCTCTTACTCTGAAGTTCTCCTTGTAGCTGCTGTAAGGCTTTTCGCAATTCCTGAATTAAACAGATTCCCTTTTTCAAACAATCTAAAATTTTCACATCGTCATTGGATATGGAGGCCTTAAAACTTTCAAGGCATAGAGAACAAAAAAAGAAAGTAGCAAAAAGTGCCATTCTTAAAATTACAAAAGAAATACTATAAGAGCCAAATAGGATGAGAGAAACTATGGGAACTGTGGATGGGAGTATTAATACTATGATTCAATACTTACTTTTTGGCTTAAAAGTGATAATATCTATCACTAAGTGGGATTTGGTTCCAGTGTAAACGTGGATCCTTTATTTTACCAATAAGCTCAAGGATACACGATTACTACCCATCCTTTTAAATCTTAAAAAAGAACTGGGAGCATTTTTTTCCAAGCTAACAAGAAGCTATTTAAGAATTATGTGTTTTAATTTTTTAAAAAAGCACACATGGCTAACTATGCAAGCCATCCCTCTCACTTGGTTGGTCTTCCTGCTTTTCTGTCTCACTGACTTTTACTCACCCTTCAAGAATAATCCTAGACAATATGCTCCTTTGTGAAGCTTTCCTTGACTCCCTCAGCGCTCCCTATATATTCCTATAGGATGCCTATGTCTCCTCTACAGTATTTACCACACTGAAATACTATTTACATGACTGTCTCTCATACTATATTACAAGTAACTTAGGAGGAAAGTGTCTGTGATAGTCACTCTTATATTTCCAGAACACAGCCCAATACCTGGCATACAGAATAAGGGTTAGCAAATGTTGAACTGAATTACTTAGATTAAGTAAGTTCAACACAAGCTATCCTTATAAAAAGCTATCACCAGGGCAAAGTCCACCTTTACACACTGCCACACAATGATTAATGATTTACTTGGTTATGTTTCCAAGAAGCCTCCTTCTGCCGCTCTCTCTCCTGTGCTGCGGCCTCTACAAACCGCACACATCGTCTAGCATCAGCCAGCTGCCGTTCTTTTTGTCGTACTGCCCTCTGGAGCTTCTGTATTTCAAGCTGGCTGCAGAATAAAGCACTTTGAAGATCAAGCAGAGCCACCTGTTGCGGAGCTGGGGAAGTACCCTCCGAGTTCTGAAAAGAGAGTGAAAAGCATCGTCACAAGAAGGGCCGGCACTGAGCAGCCAAGAAGACCAACGAGATCAAGACCGTGGCCGAGAGTGGCACATCCTCAAGGGATGCCTCCTGTCCTGGGCGACCCTCACATACATGAAGCTGTTTAAGCTGACTCTGGTGCAGCATTTCTCGAAGCTTAGCCACTGTGTCGTTCTGACCTTCAATCACCTGGTACAGCTCTTCGGCCTGCAAACGAGAGAGGGGTGCCAAACATGTTAGCAAACTAAGTACAAACTCCATTGTCTTCTTGTCTCACCTATATAGATTTCAGTAGCAGGAGTATTCCAAAATACCAATCTAGATGACACTACAATTTCTCTAAGATCTATCAGGCTGAAAATATCCATTTCTACAAATTATAGGATACTTGTCTACTTTGATAGGAAAAACTGTTTCCTCATAGGTCCATGATTGTCAAACATTTTACCTCACTTTCCCTGCTTTTTAGAGTTTCCTTGAGGTTTTGAATTGTATCATCTTGCTTCTGAGATGACTCCTGAGCAGACACTTCTGTATTTCAAGCTGGCTGCAGAATAAAGCACTTTGAAGATCAAGCAGAGCCACCTGTTGCGGAGCTGGGGAAGTACCCTCCGAGTTCTGAAAAGAGAGTGAAAAGCATCGTCACAAGAAGGGCCGGCACTGAGCAGCCAAGAAGACCAATGAGATCAAGACCGTGGCCGAGAGTGGCACATCCTCAAGGGATGCCTCCTGTCCTGGGCGACCCTCACATACATGAAGCTGTTTAAGCTGACTCTGGTGCAGCATTTCTCGAAGCTTAGCCACTGTGTCGTTCTGACCTTCAATCACCTGGTACAGCTCTTCGGCCTGCAAACGAGAGAGGGGTGCCAAACATGTTAGCAAACTAAGTACAAACTCCATTATCTTCTTGTCTCACCTATATAGATTTCAGTAGCAGGAGTATTCCAAAATACCAATCTAGATGACACTACAATTTCTCTAAGATCTATCAGGCTGAAAATATCCATTTCTACAAATTATAGGATACTTGTCTACTTTGATAGGAAAAACTGTTTCCTCATAGGTCCATGATTGTCAAACATTTTACCTCACTTTCCCTGCTTTTCAGAGTTTCCTTGAGGTTTTGAATTGTATCATCTTGCTTCTGAGATGACTCTTGAACAGACTTCAGTTCACAGCTCATTTCATTCAGTTTTTCTTGAAGAATCTGAATTCAGTAAAGAAAAACAGTTTGGTAGGTCAATGATATCTTTTACTCTCAAAGGCAACCATGAAATCTGTCCTCAAATCTAGGTTTAAAGTATTTCTTAGGGGATGTTACATTGCTATTTTCCCCCACACATTAAAGTCTTAAGCGAATCAGCAGGACAAAGTAGCAGGAGATATGAAATACTTCCTTCAATACTCAATTGCTTCAACTCTCATGAGCTGTGCTTTCTCTATGACAGCAGCCGTACTGGGGGTATTTGTCCACACGAGTCACTATGGATCCTTTATTCAAAGACCAAGGAGCTTTTGCTATCTACTACATGACAGGACACAATAAGGGTACAACAAGCAAGGAGTGCTGCATCCCAAATTGTGGGAATTTTCTTCTAAGCAGATGTTAAAACCCATGGGCTATATAAAGGTCAAAAGTTAAACAAAAGCATAAACTTCTTGTCTCAGTACCTTACACAGTTAACGACCATATTCAAGTTTTAATTTCAGACCTAAAAGAGCAGAAATTCTGATCTGTGCAGAACAGACTAAAAACACTTGAGACAGAAAGGAAAGAGCTACACTTCTAAGAATATAAAGAAACCCTGTGATCCCTAAGGGCATGGTTTTGATCATACCTTATTGGTGGTCTCTGTTTGCTGGATTTTTTCCTGGAGTTCTGCCAGATGGGAATCAGATACAGAATGCTGAGTTGTACCGGTCTCATTTGAATTCAACTTTTGTTGTTTGAGTAAGTCTTCAGTCACGGGCTAGGAAGAAGCACAAGACAAGTTAAGTGTACCTGACAATAAATTTTATCTTCAAATGTTTTTGGGGAAAAAAAAAATGTTTTCAGCCTCTTTTGCCAGAGACTTAGAAAATTATGGTTGCTAAATGGATCATCAGTAAGAACTGATGAAGATAAGGAAAAGTTCTGTTCCTTATTACAACTTATCAAGCCACTTACTCCCAAGCTACAGTTCCTACCTTTCTGTATGAACCTACACAAACACTACTCAAAGCAAGTAATTCAGAAATTAAAAAGGGAGGATTTCAAAAAACACTCATGATGACCAAATATTTGCTATATTCTATTTTCAATCAGGGAATCCAAAAGATCAAATTTCTACCACCCCTAGGGGAGAAAAAGTTATAGTTCAACTACCCTCCTTATAGTATGCCTATTTCACATTATCAGAAAAATGAGTAGATTTCAAATATGAAGCATACATTAGATAATAGTATTTAATCAATACTAAATTTCCTAACTTTGGTAACTGAATTGTTGTTATGCTGTCTTTAGGAATTACATGCTGATTGAGCATAAAGATATATTATATCTGCAACTAATTCTCAAATAATTCAGAAAGAAAAAATGTGTCTACAGATAGTTGGGAGTGAAAAAGCAATTGTAGCAACATATGAGCAACTGATAAATCTGAGTAAATATTAGCAACTGGTGAACTTGGGAGTTCTTTGTACTTCTCTTAAGACTTCTCTAAGTTTGAAATTATTTCAAAGTAAAAAATAAAAATTAGAATTTAAAATTCATAAGGTCTGGGAAGGAGGTATGTTTTATAGGAATATCAGTTCATCAAAAAGACTTAGGAGAAAAAAATCTATATTTGGGACAATCAATCAGACTAAGATAAACTTATTGAACTTGACCTAATATTCATTATGAGCTAACACACATACAGAATTAAAACTTAAGCAACTCACTGTGGTATTAAATTCCACCTTTTCTCTCCCTGCTTCCCCCCCTCTTCTCTCCCACTCCCAATTAGGGAAAATACAAATCTATTAGGAAGAGAAAAAAGGCAACTGCTATCCATTTTTTCTTTACCTCACATGTTCAAGTTCTGACTACCACCTTCCAGACTGTGGGGTTACAGCTGACCTTAAACCACTTCCTGATAGCAACTGACTGGAACTATGGGCTTCCCTCCTGCCTCAGATGGTAAAGAATCTGCCTGCAATGCAGGAGACCTGAGTTCAATCCCTGGATTGGGAAGGGAACGGCTACCCACTCCAGTATTCTGGCCTGGAGCATGTCAAGGACAGAGGAGCCTGGCAGGCTACAGTCCATGGGGCTGCACAGTCAGACACAATTGAGTGCCTTTCAGTTTCTTTCTTAATAAAGATTTCAGAAGAAAAATCTTTTCTATTCTCCCAGTGCTGTTCATCATTTTAAAAAACATCTACGAAGTACCCTAATATGCAAAGCACTATGGGAGGGGGAATGGGGAGCTACAGAATAAAAGAACAAGGAAATACACAAAGTAAAAGATAGTGACAAGGAAACAGGTAAGCAGGAAAAAGTCATTAAGTTACTCTAAATTGGCTGATCAGTGGGAGGTCTCTTTAAGGCAGCATTTAAATGAAGATCTACCTGATAAGGAAACAGCAATGCAAAGATTTAGGCAGAGAAACAACTCATGGAAAAGACCTAGGGTAGATATGACCCTAGGAAAGAAAAACCCCTTTGTAGATGGAAAAGTACTTTCCAACAGAAATATAATGTCAGCTACATGTGTAATTTAAAATTTTCTAGTATCTTCACTGACTAAAGTAAAAATAAATAAACTTAATTTTAATAAAACATTTTGCCACCCAGTCGTGTCTGACTCTTCAGGCCAGAATGCTGGAGTGGGTAGCCTTTCCCTTCTCCAGGGGATCTTCCCAATCTAGGGATCAAAATCCAGGTGTCCCGCATCTCAGGCGGATTCTTTACCAGCTGAGCCACAGTTCAGTGCAGTTCAGTCACTCAGTCGTGTCCGACTCTTTGCAGCCCCATGGACTGCAGCACGCTAGGCTTCCCTGTCCATTATCAACTCCCGGAGTTTACTCAAACTCATGTCCATTGAGCTGGTGATGCCATCCAACCATCTCAACCTCTGTTGTCCCCTTCTCTTCTCGCCTTCAATCTTTCCCAGCATCAGGATCTTTTCAAATGAGTCAGTTCTTCACATCAGGTGGCCAAAGTATTGCCGTTTCAGCTTCAGCATCAGTCCTTCCAATGAATATTCAGGACTGATTTCCTTTAGGATGGACTGGTTGGATCTCCTTGCAGTCCAAGCAACTCTCAAGAGTCTTCTCCAACACCACGGTTCAAAAACATAAATTCTTTGGCCCTCAGCTTTCTTTATAGTCCAACTCTCACATCCATACATGACTACTAGAAAAACCATAGCCTTGACTAGATGAACCTTTGCTGGCAAAGTAATGTCTCTGCTTTTTAATATGCTGTCTAGGTTGGTCATAGCTTTTCTTCCAAGGAGCAACCATCTTTTAATTTCATGGCTGCAGTCGCCATCTGCAGTGATTTTGGAGCTGAAGAAAATAAAGTCTGTCACTGTTTCCACTGTTTCCCCATCTATTTGCCATGAAGTGATGGGACCAGATGCCATGATCTTAGTTTTCTGAATGTTGAGTTTTAAGCCAACTTTTTCACTCTCCTCTTTCATTTTCATCAAGAGGCTCTTTAGGTCTTGATGAGCTACAAGGGAAGCCCAAGAATATTGGAGTGGGCTATCTGGAATATAGCCTATTCCTTCTCCAGGGGATCTTCCTGACCCAGGAATCGAACTGGGGTCTCCTGCATCACTGACAGATTCTTTAAAAACTGAGCTATCAGGGAAACCTTTCAATGGAACATTTGACCAAATATATTATATTTAAAATATTGTCACAAGTATGGATGCAATATGAAAATTAACAAGATACTAATTCTTTACATTGTTCCTTTAAAATTAAAGGTATACTGTACATTCACAGCATATCTCAATTTGGACTAGCCACATTTCACGTGGTCAACAGCCACACAAGGCTAATGGTTGCCTTGCTGGAGCACACAGGGCCAGAGCACGATGGGCAAAGGAGATGCTGACACATGATGAAGTGGGAAGGCAGGCAGGGGCCAGATCAGATGTGGCTTCTGTGCACCACAGGTAATGAAGCTGCATTTCATTCTCATTGACATGGGAATGGACTGCAGTGTTTTTAACAGAAAAGTAATCAACTATATTTAAATTTTTTAAAGATCACTCTAGTTGCTATGTGATGACTGAACTGCTGGAGAGCACCAGGAGAAATGAGAAGACCAGCTAGGAGGATGCTGCATGGGAATGAAAATACTGCTTTGGATTACAGTGGTAATAAAGGAGGGAAAGAGAAATGGATAGATTTGGACATGTTTTTGAAAGTAGAGTCAACAGTCCCGGATAGTGGGAGTGGGAGAAAGAGACAAGTAGCAAGGATAAGGACTCCGAGAAAAAACTGAGATAGTCATTGTTGTGGATATAATGGGGAGCCTTGCCCTGAAGCAATGTGAATTATGTCAAACCACAGGAGAGGCAACTCTTTTAATAGATATTTACAACAATTCTACTGATAAATAACTTTATCACTTAACAATAAAACATTCTCTACAAAACTTGGCTTCTTCCTCGGTAAAACTTGGCTTCTTCCTCGGTGTAAAACAACTTTCCAACAACATCTATTTTAAAGTACTTTTCAAATTTAAACTGTAACAAGGAGAATTAAGTAAAATAGCTTCAAGTTTTAAATGCTAGCGAAGGTAGCCATATTTAGTAACTTCAAACCAAAGAACCTTAGACCCGTGAAGGACACTTTATAAACTAACCATCTGATCCACTCTCAACTCACATGTGAGAAAATGGAGACTTATAACAGGTAAATAATTTGTCCAAAGTTACATTGGAAATAGGATCCAATTAAGCTTAATGCACTTAAAGTGGTAACTTCTTTTTCATATCTATTAAACTGACTGCCTACCATAACGCCTGGAATATTACTCGAGCCAAAACTTTTTGTTTAGGGTGAACAACAGAAACAAAAGCAAATAAGCAACAGGCCTGTCTTCTAATTTCCAGCCCAATGTTCTAATCCCACAATGGATCTCTTAGAAAAAAGACTGGATAGATAGAAAGGGAGATGTTTAATTTAAATATTTCAACATCAACTTTAAATCCAAAGAATGCCACAGAAAAGCACGTAATGAGTCTGGACCTAGTCTGAACCCATCTTGACATGTATAGTCATAGGAAACCTCTTCTTTGAGAAATGTAATGTATGGACCGAAAGGCTGGAAGATGCCTGTTTCTTCTTTATTCTTAGTACTTCATTACTTTAAATCTCAAGAAAAAAAAAAAAAAGTCCTTTCAGGTAAGTCTGCCAAAAGAGTGCTTAGCAAAGTAAACAGCTGACAATTAATTCTTGTATCAAGTACATAAACCAATCACTTCTATGAAGATTTTGTAGAGCATGACTTCAGTAATACTTGATCTGGTTGAATGGGTGTTAATCTCCAGGGTATCAGTTACTAAAATCATGTTGTAATCATAATTTTAAATTAAGTTGCTTTTGACTTAGGACAAATGCTTTTCAGTAACAGAAAAGAGAATTCCTTCCAGGCCTAATGTTGCATAATGTAAGACCTTTAGGCTAAAAGGCAGTTATTTTGATCTGGATTAACAGCATTTTTCTTGACACTTTCCTAGAAATAACAGCAAGTCATAGAGCTCAAACTGCTATAATTTTCTATCCTATTGTTAGTAACAGAAGATACAGCATCTAATGCTTACATCTTGCAAAGGGCCTGATCTGGGTTATGTAGCTAAGCTATGAGAGGGATAAGTTCATCACAATCATACAAGAGCAGGTTCTGGCATTGTAAGGTTTGAAGCAAAGATCTCTCGCTCTTTGAATTAAGATAGAAAAGCAATCTGAACCTGAGCCAAAACTGAAATAATGTTCACTAAGGGACCACAGCCCTCCTATCATGCTTTTCTAGTTCAGGGCCAGACAATAAAGAAGGAAATATCAAGATAGAAGAAGGCTTCAAACCTTTCTTTAGATAAAAGTGAAAAACCTTGGGTCTTTAGACATAAATTCTGTAGGAGGCAATAAATCAGTTTGCACAATGTGAGAAAATTAGTGAGCAGAACTACATTGTTGTTCATTAGCTTTAAAATAAGAAGGAAAGAAAGAAAAAGGAGAAAGGCAACCAGGAGGAATTCTGATGGTGACATTTAACAGTAACCAGATTAAACAAAGGAATCAAAATGCCCTTACAGAACAATCTCCCTCTTTAGGAGAGAATTTTTCTTCATACTTGGAGTACAATTTAACTAAAGGAAAATAATTTGCACTTGCTTCTATTCTATCCACACTTGTTCAGAAACAGACAAAAATCCAACTGCCTTTGTCCCACTTACTTCTGCTTTCGCCATAAAGCACGCTAGGCCTTAAGAAGCTTATAAAAGTCAACCAGACTTAGAGAGTAGATCTGGAATCCAAAATATACATTTTATCTACAAACACTTTAAGTCTAATTAATCTATTTCCCACCACATTCTTAATTATTGGAGAAAATAGCTTAGCAATCAAATGCCTTAATTCTTCAAGCTGAATGTTTTCTCTCTCCTCTCCATGTTTTAATATTCAACAAACAGTAAAGACGGTAAAGCCTGGTGACAGCAGGAGTCTTATACTGCTGTATTAAAGGGCTATTTTTTTTTCCTAATGTCTAAATTTAGAGAAGTAAAGGGACTTGACCTAAAGGTACAATTACCATATTTTAACTGTGCTCATTAGGATGCCAAATTTCTTCACAGTATCTATCCCTAAAGAATCCGCCTGACATCCTCAGGTTATAAAACAAAAGCCCTGCACTAAAAATAAGTACTTATTTAATTCAATGCCATCAGGCGATGTGATTTAATATATAGAATAAAAAGGTCTCGGATGAGAATGGCTAGGAATCTTTGACTCCACCTGAGCTGTTATTTAACCATGAGCTTTCCATATCTCTAAACTGAGAGACTGCATGAGATGATCTTTAGAATCCTTTTCAATTCCAAAATTTGTCAAGCCTAGGCACTAACAGAGTATTTTAAATTTAATATGGAGGAAAAAACTCTTGCTTTACTGCAGTCTTCTAAGTCTTCACCTTTCTTCAACATTGGTTATATTTGAAGGGGGCTGTATTTCTACAATATTGGTCATATTTCCCATCCACTCTGTCCAACTACTTTTAGATCCTAATATGGAAACACTATGATGAATTTGTGACGTCTACGCTGGCTCACAGAAATACTGTACTGGAAAGATCAAATTTAGCTGTGAAGCTTAATGAAAGAAAAGGAAGCAAAAGGAAAGTACACAAGTGTTTGGCATACTAAACATTTTACATAAATGAAAACACAGTTTAAACTTTTGGATATTCATACTTTTCCCTAACAACGCTGTTTCTGAAAAGTTAGTGCAAATTCAAAAATACTTCTCCCATATTCTTATTGTGATGCAAATTTTATACATAATAGAACTGTTTTTCAAAGCTGTCAAGTGACAATCAACAATTTTATTTAGAAGCTCTAAGATTCTGGGATGATGTTGACTGGTAGCAAGCTTTCCAAAAACACCTTCTAGATTGTCCACCTCTGTAACGGTATCACTAAAGAATGTGTATCAAGTAGAACATGCCAGATGTTTTGCAACGTTAACTGAAACTACTGTTGCTGTATAAACAAAATAGCATCCATCAGGTCCCTGTACACAACTGAATTTAAAAGGTTGGTATGAACAGCTCAAAGTAAAATCAACTGCCATCTTCCAGTCATTAAGAAATTCATGAGTAAAACATATAAAACTCTATCACCCAATAATGGATGAAGTCCTACTCAACACCAAACATCTTCAAATAGAGCTATAGACACTTTTTGCCTTAACATTTAAAATTTTGAATTCCCAAGTCTCTTTTATGAAAAAGTCATCATTAGTCCTCCAATGACCTCTTAATTTATTATAAATGTTGTCCACATATTACAATATTTTGGTGGATTAATAGGTTCTCCCCAAACCTTTACCCTATGCTCTAATCAGTTCAAGGCACAGGTGGGGATAAAAGGCCTAATGCTCTAGGGAGAACGAACTCCCTCACAGGAGAAAATATTCATAAATCTAAAAGTGAAAACAAAACAAACAAACAAAAGTGGAGGGGTGGTAGGACAAGTAAGAGGAAAGAGTTCTAGTGCCAGAAATAAGATTAAATTTTTTTAGGGTAAAAATGAATTATGAATCTTTGGCTTAAATGTGCAAAATTTTGATAATTAATGGGAAAGCCAACAGATAATCTTATAAAGAGGGCATTGTGGAAAGCAAATTACTTGCATGAATCACATTTATTAAAATGGACAGAAGCAAAAGGTAAATAAAGCAAAAATGGGTTCAATGATTAATTTTCTCAAGTCTAGACTACTAACCTTCCCCTAGATAGAAATCATGTGAAGCCTGAAGCCAGCTAACTTTAATCAGAAAGGCACTACGCAGCCATTTTGTATACCTGGACCCGAAGTGGCAAATAATCTTCACAGAGATCATCCCACAGCTCCTGCAGGTCTGAAATCTCCAAGGGATAGCTCACAGGTGTCTTGTAAAGGGGTTTCAAAGACCTGTTAAGGAAACCAGAACTAACTCCATCTGTCATGATAGGGCCAGGCCTGGTTCCAGATGGATTGGATTTCACTGGAATAGGAAGCTTGCTCCCTCGGGGGCTCTGGATGGGCTTATAATCAAGACCTTTAATCATGCTAAGAGCTAGCTCCAGCTTATGGTTACACGTAGGCTGGGGAGCCTGTTCATCTGAACAGCAGTCACACTTTACAAGTTCCTTTGCGCTTCTCTCAGGTTCCTCATCCTTTGGTTGTGGAGGACTAGCCTGGACACTTGCATCCAAAGATTCCACCGAGGATCCCGGGGTCCCTTCCTCCATGCTTTCTCCATCTGGCGGTACCTTCGCGTTTGGTAAATCCGGTGGCCCAACCTCGGACAACGCTGGTTCTTCAGTGCAAATGCTGGTGGACCATCTGGTAGAGGGGCCACAAGAGATACTTTTCGCCACCTTTCGAGGTACCTTACAAATGGCTTCATAGTCAGAATCGGCCACCCGCAAAGCTGCACAGCCTCGGCATCTCCTGGGTCGATTTCCGGGGCCTTCCGAAGCATGACAGCTGTGCTCCTGAATCTGATCCTCATTTTCTACCCAACACTCGAACCCTGAATAGGCAAAGTCTTCCTGGAGCAGTGCAGAGTATCTGACATCGGGTAAGCCGGAAATGTCAACCGTACCATTCCCCGCCTTGGTCTCCGCGCCAGGGTCATCGTTATTCTTCCGATACATGCTAGCAATGCAGAACTTGAGGCGGTCCTTCTCCAGCAGCAGCTTTTGCAAGCGCTCAATAGAAAGGGCTTCGATCCGGGCAATGACGGTGTCGAATCTATAGATCCGATCGAGCATGAACGCGCACTTGCTGCAAGCAAACTCAGCTTTGCCATCGCGGGAGACATCCTTGCCCAGGACGTGCGACAACAGAACCTGGAGGTTGAGCTTGGACGCCGTGTGGAAGATCCAGCGCCGCTGGTTTCCGCACAGCTCACGGGCACAGATCCTGCAAATCTCCTTCATCTTCCCTCCGGCGGTTGCCGAGCTTCCCCGAGGCGGCTGCTCGGTGATCGCTCACTGGCGCTTGGTTGCGTTCCGTCGCCCGCCTCGGTGGCCTCCGGCTGGCATGGCACAGCTCGGTGGGGTGCCCACTCTGCAGGGGCGCTCCGCTGACACCCGCGCGCGGGTTCTGGGTACCAGAGTGGTCGGCCCCGCCCCTCGGGGAGGCGGCGGGCGAGGAAATGCCTCAGGAGGATGCTGAGTGACAGCAGCGCAGGCCGCGCTCCGAACCTGCCATGTCTCCTCCAGCTGTCTCTCCCGCCAGCCGCGGTGTCCTCTACGCCCTCCCTTTTCAGCGGGCTGAGTTCGCGGTCCTCCGGCGGCCGCCGGCGGCTGACGCAAAGACTCAGAGATTGAGGATCAGATTTCAAGATGGCGCCAGCGGTTCGACGCCTGCGGCCGCCGGCAAACTCCTCTGGGAGCTGTAGTCCAGGAGGCCGGCTCCTCGCTCTGCGCATGCGGGGTGGCCAGCGCGTCCCCTCGTTCCCAAGCAAGTCATCGCCCCTCGCGGTACGGCGCAGACTCGACCTGCTATGGTTACCCGGGTGGAAGAGCGGGACGGATGCCGACCGCTGCCAGGCCACTTTTATCTGCTAAAATTTCACTCCAAAAGCGCACCGGTTCCCTTGCGGTTCCTCCCTCCCGCCCGGGAGGACTGTCCCGAGGCTCTGCAAGGGGAGGAGAAAGCCGAATGCCCTCCCCCTCCGTCCAGGGGTACTGCCACGTACTCTGGAGGCAGCCGTCTCGCAGCACCACTGGGTACCGCTGCGCGCTGCCCCTCTCCGGCCCCACCTCTCCCTACTCACTCCCGTTCCTAGATTAAAAGGCCCTGGGGCTTCACCCGCGGCCGGGGAGGGGGGAATTTTAGGAGGCTCAGTTCGACCTCCCTCTAAAAGAGGACAAGTGTTTCTTCCTTCGCCATGCTGGGGTTGAGTTTGTCAGGATGATTTGCCTTTTTTTTAGAGCCTAAAGTGAGGGTCGGCTCGAAGCAGTCACCTGAGAAAGAGTCCAACAGAAACCTCACGGATGCAGCTGGTTTACCGAGATTTTGAAGATAATGGACAAAAAGCTTTTTCAAGAATATAGACACTTGAGACTAGACTGCCGTCAACAAATCCTCTTTCAAGTATCAGGTAGACTGCAGGCCTTATTTTGGGGGTGGGAAGGGGAGACAGACACTAGAACAAAAGACCTTGTTTATTTGAGCTAGAGTCCAAAGTATCAGGGAGTGCTGCTCTCTGCAGAAGTGGGGCTGGGAATTTAACTGACTTCAGTTAGTATCCTGTCTTATTCAGCATTATCCAGTAGTAAGTCACCCCACTCTTGGGTATAGAACTTGAATTGCACACACAGAGTTGGGGGAAGCTGGGGCTCTCTCTAGGTGGAATTGAGGTGTCATCCTTCATTTATAATTTTCTCCCTGGCAAACTCCAAATAGGAGGAAAAACAGTCCCAGGCAATCATCTGGAGTTTTCCCAGAGCAAGACATTTCCCAGTTACAGTAATGCTAGATTTCACTAACTTGACCTTGTGAGATATTAAATTCATAAGGCCAACAACAGTCAAAGTATTTCTGAACCTCATCTCCAGGTCAGAGGCTATACTCCTAAACCTGGAGACATTCAGATGCCTTCAATGAAAACTCATAATAAACCCCCAAAGTTCTTATGGAGGATTAAATGAGATGATTTGGGGTAAGTACTTGAACAGAATTTAGCTCGTTAAACAAATGGGACTCTGCACACTCAAGATTGTATCACTCTTTTATTTAATCATCGAAACAAAATATTAGTAGCTCCATCATGAATGATAAGGACAGGTCTGAGAGCTTTGGCTTTAGTAGGCTACAGAACTTTGCATCTGTGATTTCACCTAAATATGCACATTCTGGCTCCCAAACCAATAATGTAAAAGAGATTTCCAAGTAAAACTCATCATAGGTGCATTTTTGCCTACCTCTAGCTATATGAGCTTCAGAGTCAGAAGAAATTAAATAACAATCTTTGGAATCTATACAGAGGCAAGGAGTTTCTGGCCTGCCAGAACACCTGCTATACCCTATCTTAAGTATTGTCTTCAAGAATAGCAAGGACTCAAAAAGTACAAACTAAGATATTAATTAAGGCCTCATCTTTGGCTGTGGATGCAAGCCACATTCTGTTACTGAAGAAAATGCAAAATGAAACAAAGTAATTAATGGAACAAAAGTGCTCTTTGGGAGCAAACTCTAAGTAATACTTTGTATTATTCTATATTCTTTAATAAGATTTTGCACCTGACCTGCAGTCTCTAAACTTTAATAACATCATATAGATAGTTGACATAGACAGGCAAGTCAGTACAAACAGAGAAAAAGCAACTTAGAATTGAAGAATATGTTTGCTATAACAAAAATCAACATACTAGAAAAGAGAGCTATACATTTCTTGGCTTCCAACAAGATAAATAAAGCACTCAACTCTTTACTCCCAGAGAAGACTTAAAGACCATATCTCAAAATGGATAGTAAGCTAGAGTACTAGAACTACTCCTGACATGATCATTTGATATTTTTCAGTTCAGTTCAGTCGCTCAGTCATGACCGACTCTGCGACTCCATAAATCGCAGCACGCCAGGTCTCCCTGTCCATCCCCAACTCCCGGAGTTTACCCAAACTCATGTCCATTGAGTCGGTGATGCCATCCAACCATCTCATCCTCTGTCGTTCCCTTCTCCTCCTGCCCTCAATCTTTCCCAGCATTAGGGTCTTTTCAAATGAGTCAGCTCTTCACATCAGGTGGCCAAAGTTTTGGAGTTTCAGCTTCAACATCAGACCTTCCAATGAACATCCAGGACTGATCTCCTTTAGGATGGGCTGGTTGGATCNTGACCTTTTCCAGTCCTGTGGCCACTGCTGAGTTTTCCAAATTTGCTGACATATTGAGTGCAGCACTTTCACAGCATCATCTGAGGATTTGAAATAGCTCAACTGGAATTCCGTCACCTCCACTAGCTTTGTTCGTAGTGATGCTAAGACCCACTTGACTTCACATTCCAGGATGTCTGGCTCTAGGTGACTGATCACACCATCGTTATTAACTGGGTCGTGAAGATCTTTTTTGTATAGCTAAAAAGATCACTTTTGTATAGATCAACTGAAAATACAAAATTTAAACTCAGAAGAAAAGTTATGTGGGACATCCTTGATGGTCCTGCCAATTCAGAGGACATGGGTTCAATCCCTTTAGTCCAGGAAGATCTCCCATGCCTTGGAGCAACTAAGCCTATGAACCACAACTACCGGACCTGCACTCTAGAGCCCACGCTCCACAAGAGAAGGCCCCACAATAAGAAGCTGGCACACCACAAGAAAGAGTAGCCCCCACTAGAGAAATTAGAGAAGAGCCTGCCCACAGCAATGAAGATCCAGCCCAGCCATAAATAAATAAAAAAATCTTTAAGAGAGAAGAAAAGAAACAAAAGTTATGGATAATAAATTCAGCACTTCACGGTTCTTACCAATATCATCTTGGTCAAGATTTTTTGTATCTAGTTAACACTGTCTACCTCTGGGGAGGTAAGCAAAATGGGGAGCTGAACAGAACATTTACTTTTATTCTGTATACCATGGATGATTTGAATCTGGGGTGATAAGTATATATTCACATATTAGTTTCTAAATGTTTTAAAATTTGGAAATATCCTATAGTTAAAACTAAGAGGAGTTCCCTGGCAGCCTACTGATTTTCACTGGCTTGTACTGCTGTGGCCTGGGTTCAATCTCTGGTTAAGGAATTGACATTCCACAAGCCTTGAGGCAAAACAAAACAAAAAACCACAACAAAACAACTAAGAATTGTGCCAATTTAAGACACACAGAGTCTAAGTGATAAAACTTGAACCTAAAATGAGAACTTTTATAATATATATGATAAATATCTGTGGACAGTTTATATAAACAAAAGTTCAAGGGGATATGCAAGTTATTATTTCATGATTAAGTCTGGAAAGTATAATTATGGAGACTTCCTTTCTCCTTTCCTCATTTGTATTCTGTAGTTTTCTGTAATAAGCATATATTGATTTTGTGATAAGAAAAAAAAGTATTACTAAGAGGCAGGATAAACATATCTTGATATGTTCATATAAGGTAACATTAGAAGTGTGTGTGTGCCCAGTCATGTCCAACTCTTTGTGACACTATGGACTGTAGCCTGCCAGGCTTCTCTGTCCATGAACATTTCCAGGCAAGAATACTGGAGTGGGTGTCCATTTCCTTCTCCAGGGAATCTTCTCAATCCAGGGATAGAACCCACGTATCCTGCATCTGCTGCATTGTCAGGTAGATTCTTTTCCACTAGTGCACCCAATATTAACCATCAATAAAAAAGAATGAAGTCTGATACCCACAACATGAATGAATCACAAAAGCATCTTAAGTGAAACAAGCGTATCAATATATCCTGTGTGATTTCATTTTAGTCTAACGACTTAAAGTCTAACTATTTATATACTAATAGAAATTCAGAAAGTGGTTTTTGGGTGGGGGGGAGATAGGGTGACAATTGATTGCAAGGGGGAACAACAGAATTTTCTGGAGTGATTAAAACATTCTATATCTTATTTTGGGGTGATAGTTACATGGATGTGTACAATTTTGAAGCTCACTGAACTGAATGGTTCAGTAGATTTTAAATGTTATTATTAGTTCAATTTTTAAAAGATTAAAGGGGTAAATAAATATGTAAGTACCCATAAAATTTTAACCTGAGGGATTTCTTTGGTGAAAAGTAATTTCTACTTTGGGCTTCCCTGGTGGCTCAGTGGTAAAGAATCTGCCCGCCAAGCAAGAGATACAGGTCCCTGGGTTGGGAAGATCCCCTGGAGAAGGAAATGGCAACCCACTCCAGTATTCTTGCCTGGGAAATCCCATGGCCAGAGGAGCCTGATGGGCTAGAATCCACAGGGTCACAAAAGAGTTGGACATGACTTAGTGACTAAACAAACAACCTCTACTTTATCATAAGAATAGCTTTGAAAACTGGGAAAATAAAATGTAGCCCAGAAGAAATTCTATAAAAGGCTCAGTTGAGACTTCATAGTTCCTATCCACATGAGTTTTGGAAAATATTGTTTTATATACACATACACATACCATACAGATGGCACAGTGGTAAAAGAATCAGCCTGTCAATGTAGGAGATGCAAGAGACACAGATTCGATCCCTGGGTCAGGAAGATCCCCTGGAGAAGGAAATGGTAACCCACTCCATGGGGTCGCATAGAGTTGGACACAACCGAACAACTGAGCGCGCGCGCGCACACACACACCCACCCATGGGGTCGCATAGAGTTGGACACAACTGAACTGAGCGCTCGCGCGCACACACACACACACACACACCCCCATACATTTATAATTGAAGTGAAGCATTTGTTAAGGTGAGACCTCAGGCTTTTGTGATGACTTGGAATAGGATGATGACTTCTAAAACTTATCAAAAGTACATAATAAAGGAAAATTTTACAGAGAAAAATTTTCATATTATGATAAGCTATTAATGAATGTAATGAATTAAGCAAATGATTAATTCTATACATCAGCAGTGTGCCCTCAAAATGAATCGACAGATGCATTCACAAGCACATATTTGCTCTCTGTCCTAAGTCAAATCACTTATATCTGGCCCTTAATTTCCTAATCTACAAAATAAACATATTGAAATTAAACAGTGCTTTTCCACCTTTGGCATGTATCAGAATCACTTGGAGGGCTTGTTAAAAGGTAGATTAACACATTTCTAATTCAGTTGGTCTGAGAAGGGGCCCAATAATGTGCATTCCCAACAGATTCTCAGATCATACAGATGCTGCTGAGAACTAAACAGAACTATTTTAAAAATGTATTCCGACACATCTCAGCCAAACAATCAGTTCTGCAGATAAATGGGAAAACTCACTAAGGAAGAACTACATGCAAAACTGTTGAATTTAGAGAACTGTGTGCCCCTTTGGAATAAGATTCCTAAGTATTATTATGATCGGGATCTTTTGCACTATCTCTATTTTGATCTCCAAATCTGGGTGCCTGGGAAGATTCTCTTAGAACTGTAGCTACTTTGGTACTCCCTCTGTTGTAGTGTTTCTAAGACCTCATTCTGGGCTGGGAGGGAGTTTCCAAGAGGTGGAAAATCCCTATGTCCCAAACCAGTTGTATTAGATTTCATTACCCTAGTTTATGACACTGAAAATAGCTGTCCTAATTACTAAAAACTATGCCCCCCCCCCAAAAAAAAGTCATTCTGGCAGAGAAACAAAAGCAGATGAGGAAATGTGAGATCAAAGTCAAGCCAGTTAGACTCTATGGTAATGCCACAAGCATGTGCATGATATCCCTCTGCTGGTTAGAAATCCTGAAGAAGACAGAAGCAATCATACTTTGCATTAATTAAACACACAGCATTTCAAAACAGTTGACTTAATACCAGGAGATTTGCAGTTCAACTACAGACTGCAGTAATATGGTTATCAGCAGAACTTATCTTAATATAGAAAACACTGCAGGCTTTCATGTTATTAAACATCCACAGCTGTTTAAATGAATTTCAAAATACTTGTTAATCAACTGATGAGCAAGAATTTATGCAAACTCAGTGTTTGTTTTTTTTTTCTTCTCTCTGTCTTCAGGGAGCTTTCAGTTTAGTTGAAGGGGTG